TATGGGAGGGATGGCTGGAATGTCTTTGCTGAGAGATTCTGTGGCAGTTGGCCAGCAGCCATCAACCTGGGCAGGAAAGCCAAGAGGAGTTGGGGAGTCAGGGCATGGGACGGACAGGAGTGTTATCCCTGGGTCTGTGACAGGGTGGTTGGTGGCTGTATGTATGCACTGGGATGCAGAGTGGGGACAGTTAGAACATAATAGGGAATCTATTTTTGGCGTTCCTGGAAGACTGGAGTGGCTGAGACCACAGAAATCATGGAGGAACCTATGAGGGAGAAAAAAAAACATGGTTCACTCAAACCTAGAGTTTTCCCATCAAGCCACTGTCAGGGTTTGTGTATCATGGCAGCAGGACAGGCTGGGAAAGTCTTCATCCCCACAGGCAGAGAGAGGATGAAGAGACAGAAAACCAGAGGAGGAAAAGGCAGAGGCTATGGGGAGATTCTTAGGGCAAAAGTCAGCACCCTCAGAAGGCCGAGGCGCCTGTCATTGTTTGAAGACCTATCCTGTCAAGCTTGGGCCATAGGAGGGAGTGTGAACCAGCGTGGAGCCCAAGGCTGCCCTTAGACAAATGCTATGCTTCTAGACTGCAGGCCACAAGCATTGTCGAGCCTTGTGGATCTCTCTATAAGCTGCCCCTGAAGCTGTCTGCAGCTTCCTGGGGACAGAGACTGTGACTCCGTGTACCTCCTTCAGTGTGTTCAGCATCCGTGGGGACCCTGAATAGACAAAGGCAGCCACATGCAGAGGCGAACAAGGAGGGTTGGGAAGTAGGAAAAGCATAGAGGAGGCTTACTTAACAGGAAGCTGATGGGGAGGGGGGTGGGGGGGCAGGGGACTGTGAGAGTGGACATAGAGGAAGCTGAGCCTGGATGAGAAGCGGGCAAGGCTGTGAGAAGTGTTCCAGGACAGCCAACACCTGTGCACCTGCCACAGGCACTATACGGGAGTGGGGAGTGTGCAGTGGAGATCGAGATGAACACGGGACCGGAAGCGGTGGAGAGCAAGTAACTTTGCACGCTAGAAATGGGGACAGAGTGACCACTTGGACCGGGAAGAGGTTGAAAGCAAATGGAGTCAAGAAGGGAGCCAGCACTGACCCAGCTCGCCTCCAGGCCCATCAGGGACAAGATGGCGCCCCAGGTGACGTGGGAAGACCCGACCGGAACCAGCTGAGACCTTTGCTCTTCAAATACCACTGCAGGTAGGGTGGGCCAAAGAGCTGGTCAGGGATGGAAGGGTAGGAGTGGGTTGGCTGAGGGTCTCTGGTGAAGGAGTGCGTGTGTGCCTTGCTTACACACATGAATGATCTGAGTATCTTCTTCATACAGACGCCTGGCTCCATCCTAGGGACTGACTTCCTGGGACAGGACAGGAGCTCAACGTGAGAACCGGTGAGAGGCTTTCTGCTGAGTCTGAAGTATGCTCAGGAGACTGGAGCTGTAGCTCAGAGATAGAGCACTTTGCCGAGCATGCACAAGGCTCTGTGTTTGCTCCCCTGCGTGGCAAAAATAAACCGTGGCCAGGGAGAAATCCAGCACTTGGAAGCCTAGCCTCTTCCCTCACTTGGAAGAGAGGACAACTTGGAAAAAAAGAGATCTGTGAGAAAAGAATTTGGGTGGTAGTCTGGGGGGCTTAAGAGTGAAATTTTCAAAGACTCCATTGATATGTTGATATGGTTCAGTGGAGCGCTGGTCTAGCATGCATGAAGCCCTGGATTCAATCTCCAGTACAAGGGACACACACACACACATACACACACACACACACAGAGTATCCCCCATCTGTGTCTGTGCCTAAGAGTAATAAGCCCAAAACGAAACAATCGACAGGCTTTAAAAGGGCAGAATCCTTCAGTTCAAAACTACTGGTGAGCCAGGCGGTGGTGGCGAACCCCTTTAATCCCAGCACTCGGGAGGCAGAGGCAGGCGGATCTCTGCGAGTTCGAGGCCAGCTTGGGCTACAGAGCGAGATCCAGGACAGGCTCCAAAGCTGCACAGAGAAACCCTGTCTGGAAAAACCAAACAACAACATTCCTGGTGCAAGTGGCCCCCGCCTGTAATCCCAGCACTCGGGAGGTGGAGGCAGGAGCATCAAGAGTTTCAGGCCAGGCTGGGCTACTTGAGACCCTGTCTCAAAAAAGAAAACACCAACCAACCGATCACTGGTGAATTCTAGGTTTTCTCACTGTCCCTCACCCACATGCCTCACGTGCTCTTCGTGGGGCCTCTAGGTGGAACACAGGAGGCTACCTTCAATTTTTGTCCCAGAAGAGGCCTGACAGCCACCCAGCAGGATAGTCAACCCCACCTCCCACCAAAACCCCTGCACCCTAATGCGGCTGACTCACAGAACCCGGGTGGAGTCCTTAGCTACACCATGAAGCAAGCCAAACTGGAAACTGGCCTGGGAACAGAACGTATAGGCTAAACAGGTCGTATGCAGATGTAAGTGCATGCAAACAGTCACTCCTGAACTCTGAATCCATTTCCTGATCATCTTGTATGGGAGCCCTTAGCCCTTCCACTACAGCTCAGTGTCTTGGGGCCGTCAGGAGGGAGAATGGAGCTCTGTGGTAGAGACTGCCTCGCATGTGGGAGGCCCTGAGCTTGATCCCTAGCACCGAAACAGACAGACAGACAGACAGACAGAAGTAGACAGTGTGAGAGGGAAGCCCTTTACATGAGCCCACAACAGTCCAGGGCAGCACAAACAGACAGACAGACAGAAGTAGACAGTGTGAGAAGGAAGCCCTTTACACAGGATGAAGAGGTTTTGTCTTTTGTTTTTAAAACAGGGTTTCTCTGTGTAGCTTTGGCTGTCCTGGAACTCACTCTGTAGACCAGGCTGGCCTCGAACTCACAGAGATCCGCCTGCCTCTGCCTGCCGAGTGCTGGGATCAAAGGCGTGCGCCACCACCACCCGGCTTGAGAAGAGATTTTGATCAGGGCCTTTAAACCTGAGTTTACCAGGCTTACCTAAGGGGAAAGGGAACTAGTTAGGAAGAGACCTATGTGTTTAGGGACTGTGACACTTTCCCTTGAGAGAAAAGACTACACAAAGTAGGAGGTGTGGAGCGTGGAGGACGTCGGCTGTGGTGGTCCAGGTGTGAAGGACCTGGTTTAGGTAGAAAGCTTTGACTTTGTAAGTGGCGGAGTCCCAGTGAAGGCACGGTGTATAGGATACACATTACTCAGAGGCCAGAGCAGGACGTTGGGGTCTTGCTCTGTTGCTGCTGTGTCTCACAAAGCCTGGAGCAAGGGGGGCAGCCAGCAAAGCCCTGCCATCCTCTAGTCTGTGCCGAAACCTCACAATGAATGATGGGGTTTCAGATGCTGGGCTCCAGCTTTTTACATGGGTTCTGGGAATATGAACTCACATCTCTAATGCTTGAGCAGGAAGTGACACCTTCCTAGCCCCCAGTGAAGGATTTTAGCTACAGGAGTGACAGCAGCTAATGTTTTGTGTTTCAAAAGCTAACCAGAGAGAGGGGTAGACTGGTAATTCAAAAGTATTTGGCTCCTAATTTTTCTATCACTTTATCTCAGCAACTTCTCCTTCACAGTGATAGTTAGAAGGAAGGGAAAGGAAGAGAGAAGAGGCAAAGAGAAAATGTACTGGGAGCTGGGGGTATAACTCAATGATAAAGTTCATGCTCAGTGTTTGGGGTTCATCCTCAGCATCACAAAAGGTCTATATGAGACACCAGCAAAGGTGTATGTATGTTTTATCTACCTATGACCAGTGTCTCTCAAGCACTGATTTTGTTAAGCTTTGTTATATACTCACGTATGTTAGTTTACAGGAGGTAAAACATTTTTCTCACTGTGGGTGAAAAAAAAAAAAAGGCACTCCCTTGAGGTGTAGGTGTGAGCAGTCTGGCTTCAACAGGAGTCTAAGGCTCCACGGCAGATGGGGTGTGTATGTTTCCGGCCCACGCTAGTCTGAAGCCAACATGAATTCCCTCTCGATGCCACGCCGCCGCCTGCCCAAGTTTGTCGTTCCCAGAGGAGGGCTTGCAAGAGGCAGATACACCTACCTGGGATGCCTATCAAGAGCAGAACCTCATTCAGGAGGAAATGAGGCAGGGACCAAGCAGGGGCTCTCGGATTCCAGTGTGCAATTCTGCCCTGAGGCGCAGGGTTAAAATGCAGATTCTGAGCATGCCTGAGGAGTAGCAAAGGTGACTGGGACGACCCTGGGAATCTGCTTTTGGAAACGGCTCAGACAGTTCCGGTGAGCCCGTCTGGAGCCGCGTGGATCAGGGGGGCCCTGCGACACATGGGTGAAGATGAACGGGGTCTTGAAATGATATAAGGACAGTCCCCTCTGGGAAGTGCTAAGTAACCAAGCCCCGCCAGGGCATCGAATCTCCACAGGCGACAGCGGGCGAGGGGCCGAGGAGCTGAGCTGAAGGCCATACGCTCACGCGGCGCCGGGTAGCGGCCGCTACACTAGAGCTCCCCACGCCCGACTGTACTAAGAATGATGTATAAGCTCTTTATGGGGCATTTCTCGGCCTCACACTACGCACTTCTGATTGGCTTTAGGGCAAATCTATCACTCATCTTCTGGGTTAGAGGTGGGTGGAAGGTCATCCACGACCAATACAGAATCACTTCTCAGCTAAACCCCTCCCCATTCCGCTTCCTGTTGCTGTCCATCAACCTCCTAGCAGGCGGGACTTTGCCTCCCGCCAGTTGGCTAATGGAAACGTCGTTCATTCCTCAGTTGATTTCCGGTTGGTGACTACTACCGTCTATCAGTGACATTTCGCAGCTCTATTGGCCAGACCAACGTCACTCTAGATGCTTCCCGATGATTGGTTGAAAATGCTGTCGGTCCCCAATGTACCGAGCGTTTATTGGTGAGCGCTGCCGTCGCTCGGGCGGTGGCGGGCTCCGGGATTGGCGGGTGCTAGGCGGGCGGTGTCAGGCTCTCGGTGGCGGCGGAGGCGGCGGAGGCCAGGGAGGAAGATGTCGTAATGAGCGGTGGGTCCTGGCCTCTGCCGGCGGGGTCTTCCCGGCCCTCAGGGCCGGGAAGACGGGCAGAGGCCTCGGGGAGGGGAAGCCGGAGCCGGGGGTGCCCCCCTGGGACTGGGCCTAGCGCCGGGGCCCGGCTACGGGAGGGGCGGGGGAGGAAGGATTCCCGCCCGGAGGAGGAGCGCGGCCGGCCGGCCGGGCGGAGGCACCCGGAAGGGGGCGTTAGACTCCCCGCCCCTCGGAGCCCCGGGCGGGAGGTAGGCGCTTCCGGGGCTGGCAGGCGGCGCGGGCAGCTAGGCGGTCCTGGACCCCCCCTTGGCCCTCTTGGCCCAGGGGGCGCCGGGCCCTCAGACTGCGCCCGAGTCTGTTCCACGCAGGCGGCCGAAGCCCGCTCGGGCTCGCCCTGTGGGCAGGCAACGCTTGAGATCCTGGTGGTGCCAATCAGACTGGCCTAGGCTGCAGCCTGCTGCCTCCTTGCAGCCTGCTGCACCGCAGCCCCAGACCGTGTCAGGCACACCCTAGGCAGCTGATGACTGCCGAGTGAAAACCGAATTTTACTGTTTGTACCTGCGACTAGGTATCTGCAAGCTCTTGGAATTCTGAGAAGTTTGAGAACTTGTTGACAGAGCTCCCAGACTATTGCCCTATGCCCAGTGCGGGGGGCAAAAATGCACTGAAATTCCAAGAAAGCGTAGGCGCTATCGTTCTTAGGAGGTGACCCAAGAAATAAAATAGTCGCTTTCTTCCTCCATCCTCGTTGCTGACTTAATGGTGCTCAGCTTCCTCCCTTCCTTCTTAGGTTTCTTTCCCGGTGCCTTTCTAATTTTAGAATGAAAGGAAGTGTTTCTTCTGCCATGGGCAATTGAGAAACCTGTCCTCAAACTGCATTCCTTGGTTTGGATTCCAATAGTCTGTCATGTTTAATTGTTTCATAATTAACTTGACTCCGTTTGGCTTTTCTCCTGAACCTTTCCCTTTTAGGAGGTTAGTGGTTGCTTCATGGAGAAAGGCCAGTGATCTGTGAGCCATGAATTGGCCCAAGGTCCCCCTTATGCAGATTTCATTGCAGAAAGGTGATTGATGTTTCAGTGTGTACTGGCATGCACAGTGTACAGCTGTTTCATGCTGTGCCATAGAAGGCACTAGGCATTACAGAGCAGGAAAAAGCCCTGAGTTGATCCCCACCCCTGTTGTGCTCTAGGTTGAATCTAGATCCTCACAAGTGCTAGACAAGCACCTCCTACACTGTATCTGCAGCCTGGAGTTGTCTTGGATAGGATTTTGAGGGCTAGAAAGGTTAGGGTGTTAGCACACAGTGAATTAGCAGAGGGAAGGATGGAGGCCAGATCACAGCAGCAACTTCCGTTACTGACACAAAGAATCCATTGTCTATAGTGATGTATTCATCAGTGTCTTGTTTTCTTTTAAATTCTCGATGACGAAAAACCAAGGAGCAGATCTCAAAACCAATCAGTGGGGTTTATGTCAGTTTTGCAGTGGCTTCTTTTTGGGGGGTGGGGGATGGGAGGTGGGTGGAAACTCGGTCTTGCTATGAAGCCCTGGCTGGCTTGTAATCATACTGTAATCTGTGTGAGTCTTGAAATTGAGATCCTCATGCCTCAGCCTCCCAAGTGCTGGGGTTATAGGTGTGTACCAATTTGCTTGGTTTCCAGTGACCAAACAGACATCAGTCCCCGATAATGAATTCTCTTTGGCTGAGGTGGTTGGTGAGTTATCTAATTCTAGTTCTTCTACTTGGTGGTAACAAAACTTTCTCTTTGGTTAAAAGCAACAGCAGCAGGGCAAACAAGCTGGTCTGACACCAGGCTATGAGCCCTGAGCTAGCTGCTAAAGCCAAGGAGAGCAAACTAGGGTTTGCTCATGACTGTCTTCCCCTGGCCCTGGCATCCCTGCAGACATCACGGAGACTGGTTCTCCTTAGATCTGGTTTAAAGTTTGGGCCTGGGTCGGTGAGATGATGGAGTGGGTAAAGGCAATTGCTCCAAGTCTGGTTACCTGAGCTCATCATCCTTGGGTCTCACCTAGTGGAAGAGAAACTTCTACAGTACACACACACACACACACACACACACACACATACACACGAAAGAGAGGGGGGGGGTGCGGAGTTTGGGCCTGTGGAACAGGAGAGAAGCAGTAAAAAGATGATGGCAGATGTTTGGGTTAAAAGCCCAAGTCTTTCCAGCAGGTAGGGAAGTTAGTATTTGGGTCGGAACCTCTTAGTTGTTCTGGTGCTTAAAGCGTTGGAGAAGTTATAGTCTCTTGTACTAAGCAGTGACCAGTCCTTGACCATAGGTGTGTGGCAATCCCCAAGCTTACTTTAAGCAAGTATTGCCCAACCATGGTCCTTACAACAACTTTTAAAGCTTCTTGCCAGTAGATTCTGGTATTGATGTGGGCTCAGCAGTTTTCTAGACCCTGACCCCTCCCATTTCTGTGCTAGAAATGGGCCTTTTTTTTTCTAAGTTCCCTTTATTCCATCTCTGTTTCATCTACAGGGAAACTCTGCTTCCAGACACTGAAAATATTAGTAATTATTTGGGTCAAGTGGATAATGGCCACAGAGTGAAGGAGGCAGAGAGACATTGCTGTAAAGATTTGTATGGCATATTCTAAAGTGAACAAGTCTGAGTTGATAGGATTACTTGGCCTAATTTTAAGCCTGTGGGCTGTGAACTTGGAGTAATCTGTTTGGAGAAGGTCATCCACTTCCTTGTATGTTTACTGGGTGGCGTGTCTGGACTGTCTTTTTGGGTGACTTAAAGGATTTGTGAGTTTCTTCCCAGCTTGTTCTAAACCCAGAACCCAGGCTGGGTGTGGTGATGCACCCCTAATCCTACCAGGCTGAGGTCGGAAGATTAAGAGTTTGAGTCCACCCTAGACTACTTAGTGAGTTGCAGGCTAGCCTGGGCTATGTAGCAAGACCTTGTCTCAAAAAAATAAAAATGAAAACAAGGAAATTTTACCTACAGGGTGGACCAAATGGTGTTTCTAGGTTGAGAAATGTGGTGTGTCACAAGCTCTTGGTGGCTTTTGTCATGAATATTCCCGTATGGCTCATCTGCCTCCTGTAGTTCTTTCTCCTTTCCCCTCCTCAGCCAGAGCTCAGGTCTTTGTTTCTCAAATGTGGTGGCAGGTCTGTGTCTTAAGGTGCTGTCTCCATGACTAACAGATGTTTTCATGAGCAGCTTTCCTGAGGGCCCCAGGGCAGAGGAGTTTCACATTTCTGTCAGAATTCTTTTGGAACCTGGTGGGAAGGAAGGTAAAAGAGGAGGTTGAAGCTATGACGGTAAGGCTCAGTAGGAATGGGACTGGGGGGTCCTTCTCAAGGAGACGCCCCCATGTCATGGTGGATTTGTTCGTTGACAAATGGTGAAATAGAAAAATTTTCTGCTGCTTCATGGGATCCTGAAGGAAAACACAGCCAGCATCGGGGCAAGCTGAGAGCTGGCCCCAGCGTCTTGGGACAGCCAGACCTTTCAGGACATGTTTGGGAAGGCTCTGTCACTGTCACCGGTGTCACTGTGCCTTTCCTCAAGTGTGCCCAGGCCAGCGGCTCCAGTGAGATGAGCCAGTGCTTAGCACAGGGACTGTGCCTGGTGCTTCGCTCCAAGTAGTGCTGAGCTGTCCGGGCTGTCCCAGTGCAACACGAGCCTGCTCGGAAGCCCAGCCGTTGGAGTGGGTGATAGGCGACATCTCTTTCCCTTCACGTCAGGACTGCCGCTGTGTCCAGCCAGCAGCTGCTGTGTAGTGCAGAGGGTTAGCTTGGGTGGCCAAGGCCAAGGCCTCTGAGATGCCAGTGTGCCTCTGTGTGGTGATTTAGGTTCTTCAGGTGCCATTCATCTCAGCCACAGGGCAGAAGTGGCTCAGGAAGAGTCAGGAGTCAGTGCACATTTCTAAATGTCTTTCTAGAACTTTCTCACGGGGTTGTCACCTCTCCTGGGATTTGGTAAAATCCCAGAGTGGCTCCTGAGACTGTGAATAGGGATTATGAGACAGCTAGCCGGGTCATGTGATTGGAAGTGAAATATTTCTGCTTCTGGTTTATATTTAATTTGGAAATTAAAGAAAAACCAAAAATCAGATGAAGACATTTCCCAGGCTTCAGAAGAGCAAGCAGCAAGCCAGCCTCCCTCTCTTCTCCAGGGAAATGAAGTCACTCACTACTCATTTCAGAAACTAATCCTAGCCCGGGAGAGCTCCGGGAGTGACTCACAAATACATGCCAAAGCAGAGAAGGCAGCAAGCTTGTGCATCAGGAGAGTCTTGGTGGTGGTGGGGGCGGGGGGGGGGGGGGGGGCCTTGCATTTCTCCTGTTGGCTGCAACAGAGTTCTGAGCTCCAGTATTCTTTTTTTTTTTCTTCAAGATTTATTTATTTATTATCTATACGTGTTCTGCCTGCATGTATACCTGTAGGCCATAAGAGGGCACTAGATCTCATTATAGATGGTTGTGAGCCAACATGTGGTTGCTGGGGATTGAACTCAGGACTTTTGAAGAGCAGCCAGTGCTCTTAACCTCTGAGCCATCTCTCCAGCCCAGAGTCCCAATATTCTTAAGCAGAAAAGCTTTGCATGGTTTCCTGGGACTGCTTCCATCATGCTGAAGTGTTCCTGTCGTCCCCTGTTGCCCCCACATCGATGACCTATGACCCAGGCAATAAGCAAACTGAGAGTGACAATAGTCATGCATGGTGGAAAAGAATCATAACTGGACAGACCAGGACTGTGCATTCAGATGCTCTCATGGTCTTCATGAATGTCCATGCGTGTGCTAACTGGAAAGGGTATCAGAGTGTAGCTTGGAGCTGTAATGTCATCTGTGGAGTTGACTCACTTCCCCGAAGTGTGTGACCTGCTCCAGCTCACACAGGCACCATCACACTTTTTTTTACTGGGTGCTGGGGATGGAACCCGGGCTTGGAGCATGCTAGGAGAGCACTCTAGCAACTGAACCACACCCCAGCCCTCCTTTGGCTCTTCTTTTGTCTGCTTATTTTTTTGTTTTCCAGACAGGGTTTCTCTGTGTAGTCCTGGCTGTCCTGGAAGTTGCTCTGTAGGCCAGGCTGCTTTGAACTCACAGAGATCCACCTGGCTCTGCCTCCCCGGTGCTGAGATTAAAGGTGTGCACCACCACTGCCCGGCACCTCCTTTGGTTCTTAAACTCCACTTAGACTCTCTTTCTCTGCATTCCTTCAGGATTCATTTAATTCATGAATTTATTAAACAAGTATGTAAAGCTCCAACTGTGTGCTAGGTTACATAGTTACATCAGTGAGTAAAAGAAAAACCCTTGCCTTTAGGAAATTTGCATTCTTTTTTTTTTTTTTTTTGGTTTTTCGAGACAGGGTTTCTCTGTGTAGCTTTGCGCCTTTCCTGGGACTCACTTGGTAGCCCAGGCTGGCCTCGAACTCACAGAGATCCGCCTGGCTCTGCCTCCCGAGTGCTGGGATTAAAGGTGTGCGCCACCACCGCCCGGCGTAAATTTGCATTCTTAATGAGACAATAATTAAGTAGCTAATAAGTACTTGTTGAAAAGTGGTAAGTCTAAAGATAAAAATAGAAGAGAGAGGGTAGGGAATATGTGTGGGAGAGGCAGTTTACACAGGGTGTTAGGAGAAAGTGACTTCATGAAACCCTAAAAGGGTGAAGGGGTTGAACTGGTTCTGTCTAGAGTGAGGGGAGGCGGGTGAACTCAAGCAGAAGGAAGGACCTGGCTAGGAAGAGCACCAGCAGCTTTGGGGAAGGCAGCATGGCTAAAGTGAGGAGGGAGGGAGGAAGGAAGGGAGGGCAGGAAGTCAGGTGACACAGGCCTGTGTGTGATGGCTGGAGCTTTGGCTCTGATGGGATGCTGCTGTTGAGGGCCTCTGAACAGAAGAGTGATGTGGCTTCATTTATGTTTGATGTGTTGAGAATGGACTGACAGGGTCAAGGTTAGGACAGCTCAGTGCCCTTCTCAGTTGACTAGGTACAGACACGGATCTGGGTGATGACAGCAGCAGGTGGTGAACACGGTCATATTTGGTGTGTGTTCTGAAGTTAGAGCTAGGAGTGTTTGCACTCACGTGTGAGAAAAACGAAAGGCAAGGAGAATTCCAAGGTTTTGGGACTGAGCAGCTGCAAGGATGGAGGAGCATTCACTGCAGTGGGCAGTCCTTGAAGGAAGCATGAAATTAGAAGCTATCAGCAACACTGTTCAGGGCTGCTTAGAGTCAAGATACCCTCTAATATGTCCAAGTGAAGGTGTCAGCAGCACGCAGGAGGCAAAGTCTGCAGACAGACTCAGGCGTCATCATTATCTAGTATCTGTGTAGCATTGGTTTTGAAAGCCACGAGAGTAGGTGAAATCACCTAGAAAATAGGTAGAGAAAGAAGAAATACAAGTCCTGGAGTGGAGTCTGGGCGGCCTAACTGCTGAGAAGTTGAAGGAGAGGACCATCAGAGACTTAGAAGTAGCCTGCAAGGTAGGAGGCTGACTGGGAATCCATCAAAGAATGTTTCCAGAAGCAAGAACAGTTAACTGTCAGATCCCGAAAGATGGGGGCTTAGGTCTAGGAGTTAGCAATTAGATTCGGTAACATGAGGTCTGGCAGCATTAGCAATTTTGGTAGCATGAATGGGGTGGTACAACCTGGTTAGAGCCAAGTTCAGGAATGACTATTGGGAGTAATTAGGAACAGCAAGTACAGATGCTCCTTGGCTTAGGATGAGGTGGTTTGTTGGATAAATATGTAGTGAGTTGAAAAGAGTGGAAGTCAAACATGCATTTTAACATACCCAACCTTCCAAATATTATAGTGGGGGTGTGGTTCCATTGGAAGAATGCTTGCCTAGCATGAACGAAGCCCTGGGTTTGCAAACCCACGTGCAGGACAGTGGAGGCTTGTTGTATATCTGGTGGCGGTTCATGTGGTTCCGTGGAAAGAAGGCACAGAGGTACTCTAAGGACAAAAATTTTAGACTTTCCGGTTGGAGGGAGATAAGTCTCTCATGGACTAACTCACTGTAGCTTAGAAAAGGACGACCTTTGATTGTTATACAGTTCACACCTTTAGCAAGTCAGTTCCTATACCAAAACCTCTAAGCCCCCCAAAGGGACAATGCCAAATGCAAATTCTGTTAAAAGACATCCAGTCCTCCCACAATCAAGTTCTGTGTGGGCTTTGAACCCCTAGGAAACTCTCAGATAAGACTTCAAACAGAACCCTAGGAAACTCTCAGATAAGACTTCAAACAGAAGGTTCCGGAGACAGGAGGTAGCAATCACAAAAGGCAGGTAGGTCAAAGTTAGGTGCTAGCACTCCTGGAATCAAAACAACTGCAGAAATCTGCAGGAACTCCTCCAGCTGTGGCCCATACCTTTAATCCCAGCACTGGGGAAGCAGAGGCAGGCGGATCTCTGTGAGTTCGAGGCTAGCCTGGCCTACAGAGTGAGTTCCAGGACAGCCAGGGCTACACAGAGAAACTCTGTCTACAAAACAAAGGGGGTGGGGGGGGAAGAAACTAGGGCGTAGTCACACACATTCGTATTCACAGCACTCTAGAGGTGGAGACAGGAGGATCATCCTTGGCTCCATAGTGAATTTGAACCTGGACTACATGAGTACAACCTGTCTCAAAAAAGAAAGACCTCTTAGGTTTGCTGAGAGTTGGACAAAATCATTTACCACAAGTTTTTTGTTTTGTTTTGTTTTGGTTTGGTTTGGTTTTTCGAGACAGGGTTTCTCTGTGTAGCTTTGCGCCTTTTCCTGGAACTCACTTGGTAGCCAGGCTGGCCTCGAACTCACAGAGATCCGCCTGGCTCTGCCTCCCGAGTGCTGGGATTAAAGGCGTGCGCCACCACCGCCCAGCTTGTTTTTTTTTTTTAGATAGGGTTTCTCTGTGTAGTTTTGCTACCACCTCCCGGCACAAAGTATTTTTTTAATGAAACGTTGACTATCATGTAACTTATTGAGTACTATACTAAAAGTAGGAAACATCATTATGAGTATGCTTTCATGTACTATATATAACGTTGAAAAGTTCAGTTGGAGGCCTGTTTGCCCAGTGCCTGCCATGTCAGGGTTAGTCTGACAACCCGCCTTCAATCCCCAGGACCACATGATGGAAGGAGAGAACCTCCACATGTTAGCCATGCCATGTGTGTAGCCATACACACATGTGCACACGTGTATACACAAATAAAATACGATTGAAATGTGAAAAAACGTGTTAAGTTGAGCCATAGAAGTAAGGAGCTGTCTGTACACGGTGACTGGGGAGTTGTGTTTGAGAGAAGAGGTTAGGAATCCCAGCTCAGAAAGGAAGTGTAACTTCTTGATAAAGTCGAGTGTACGTCTCGGGTCATGGCTCAGTTGGGGTCAGAGCGAGGGTGGAGAAGATCTCTGTTCTGTCCTTTGGCCTGTGGCATTAGCATCCTCTCCCCAGAGCTGCTCTGCAGTGCCCGGCATGAGCGTCCTTTTCCTGTGTTGTGGCTGCTGGGTGTTGAGTGGTCCTGGCAGTTTGGAGCCTGTCACAGCCAAGCTTGCTCCCCGCAGCCTTTAGACAGGCTGACTCGCCAGTTTCCCCGGAGGTCCAGTTTTGTTCTTGAAAACCAGCTGTGGTTCGCTTTTCCCTTACCATCTCTGGATTCTTCCAGGCTAGGCAACGGGGAAAGCCTGGCCTTAGAAACTGCTTTACTGGCTTCTGGCCCAGTCAGACTGACCAAAATAGCCACCAGAAGGACTGTTTGCACAGAGTGAGATTCCTGCTGGGAAGTGCCATAGCAGAGGGCCAAGGAAGCCAGAGCTGTGCAGGTTTAAAAAAACAAACCAAACCAACAGCCTAGGGTCTGGGTGTGGACTTTGAGCCTCTTCTAGCCTGGGACAGCCCGATAACCAGGGCTCTAGGGTCCTTCCTGTTAGATCATGCTGTCCCAAGCCAGTCTGCCAGAGAAAGACAGACACCCCCTGCCTCCGGGATAGAGCTACACTCCCTACGGTGGAGGCCAGCGTTGTGGTGAGGCCAGCGTTGTGGTGAGGCCAGCGTTGTTGTGGTGAGGCCAGCGTTGCCAAGGGTCCTACAGGGAGTGCACACTGGCACCCAGCAAGGTCATCTGCTTCTAGAGAGTAAGTGAAAAGCAACCTCTAGAGATTAGAAATGGCCAAAGGGGGAGCTCAGGCTTCAGGCTCCCAGGAAGAGAAAGAATGGGAGGGAGGACAGGGAGGAGGGAGGACAGGGAGGAGGGAGGGACAGGAAGGAGGCTCAGTGCTTGGTTCCTCTAAACTTATCCAAAGAGCTTTCGGAAACTATGGGAGGATGTAGCCAGGGGATAGGATTCTGCGTTCACAGAGGTAGTCTTCCAGAAGTGTACTGGCCGGGTAAAGGGCGGGGGCCTGAGGCTGGAAGCTGCCCTGGAGGCTGTAGGTGGGAGTTCAGGCTGAGGGAGGGTGATTGAAGCCAGGACCAGGACCATGGGACTAGTGAGGAGAAAGGAGACTTCTTTGGAGGAGAAGAGTCAGAAGGACCTAGCTCCCCAGCAGGAGGTGGATGCGCAGGGCTCTGCTGAGAATGGACCTGCCGGAAAGAAGCCACATTCCAAAGATTCCTGTGCTCTTACCCTCTCCCCAGGAACTGCAGTTGTCCCTGTACGGGAACCAGGTCTGGGAGCAGCAGCTCGGTGCAGACGCTGCTTATTGAAGGGCAGGGCCTTGCTCCCATACCTTAGGCCCACGATCACCGGAAGGGGGGCTGAATGCTAGCAAAGGACTTGACTTCATCTCAGTCCGGAAAGGACACCAAGGACACGCTATACCTGTTACAAGATGGCTGTCAAAGCATTTGCTTGAAACGACAGAAAAGCCCTGAGCAAGGGAAGGGCAGCGGAGATAACCTCCTGCATCTTAAAGGCAGGCCTGTGGAGGCTAGGGAGGAGAAAGAGGGAACAAGCCTGGAGGGAATGCTCAGGTTGGGAGTGTCTGCTGGCCTGATGCAGGCCCATAAGGGGCGGAGCTGGCCCAGACCTGGGAGTGTCAGCCTCTGCGGAAGCACTGTAAGTGGACACTGCCCCCCAAGGAGGGGTCTCGGGTGAGGAGAAGGGACACTTGTTGAAGAATGCCTGTATCTAAGTGGTAGCAAAGGAAGAGGAGCCCACGGGAATTTACAAGGGGAGGCAACCATCAAGAGGTTTGTTGCTTTAGAAGCAAAGGGGTCTGTGGTGACCTGGGTAGAGGCAGCCCGCAGAGTGTGGACGGAGACGTGGAGGGGACCACGTTTAGCCAAGGAGGGGGAAGGTGATGGTGAGAGTCTGGAGGCGAGGTGCTTTTCTGTCAGTCTTGGGGTTCTGTTCTGGTCCCTCTGTCACCCGATCGATACTCCTTCCTCCTTGCTGCTTTTCCATCCCCTCAGGACTTTCCTTAGGGCTGAGGTGTACCGGTCTATGCTTGCATCATCGATCTCTGCAGATGTCAGCCTAGAGACTTAGGGAAGTCTTAGCTGAAATGAATTAACGACAAGATCCAAAGGATATCACGGAGAGATACGCACTTTTTTCTTTCAGAATATTCAGTAAGGGTGTGTAATCCGTGCCTGGTGACCAAAGTTCAGTCCCTGGAACCTACGTGATGGAAAGAACTGATTCCCAACTTGTTCTTGAGCTTTCACATGTCACTGTGCATGTCTGCATGTGAACAAACACACACAAGATAAATCAATGTCAAAAAGAAGGGATATGCAGTGATCTCTGTTGCCCATATTGCTAAATCAATATAGGTTTCAATGACCAAGTATGAGCTGCTGTTAGAGGCCAGTGGTACTGTTAAAATGGTGGATGTGCTGGAGATAGCTCAGTGGTAGAGCATTGCCCCACGTATGTGAGGCCCTGGGCCCAACCCCTAGCACAAAAAGAAAAATGTGTCCATAGTGGAAGTGGTGTGAAGTAGTTACAGAATTACCTCTAAGAGTCCCTCTGCGAGCCAGGCGGTGGTGGCGCACGCCTTTAATCGTAGGACTTGGGTGGCAGAGGCAGGCGGATCTCTGTGAGTTTGAGGCCAGCCTGGTCTACACATAGAAACCCTGTCTCAAAAAACCAAAAAAAAAAAAAAAGAGTCCCTCTGCCGCTTCCTATCCCACTTAGCAGTGCTTTGAATAGTATGGAGGGAAAGCAAGCATGACTCCATCCATCCACATTACACATTTTAAACACAAGCTTCCACATTAAATGAGGTTGCTCAGTTACGGATGTGTTCTCTTCTCCTTAACCACTTCCCTTTCCATACACCAGCTGGAAGTGCTTTTCTTTACCCTTCTCTTTCTCTTTCCAGAGTAGAATTCTGTAGTGGCGGAGAAGTGGTTCTCTGTTTTGATGGACCAGGTCGCAGCCCAGGGGCCACATAAAGCTCTCGGTGACCATAGGAGAGTACTTATGGTGGTCTTAGACTAAAGTATTTCAGGAGCCTGCTGGGGAGGAGAATGAAACCGAACTGAGATAGTGCAACCGGGGACCCCAGCAGCCTGCAGCTTACATCAGTAGTAGGCTCTGTTTAACCTCTGACTCAACGGTTCTCAACCTTCCTAATGCTGCGACCCTTTAATACTCATGGTGTGGGGACCCCAACCATCAGATTGTTTTGTTGCTACTTCATAACTGTAACTTTGCTCTTGCTGTGGATCATAATGTAAGTAAATAAATTTAAAAAAAATAAAAGGGCAAATACCTTGAGGAAAACATGACAGTAAAAAGGCTGAGATGCCTTTGGTCCCTGGTCCTGAGCCCCAGTCTGTGTTGGAGATACCTTGGCTCATACCTCCCCAACCCTTGGCCCCCAAACTATATTACCACCCTGCCTTCATTTCCCTCCTTGTTCACGGAACTGTTACGAGCATTTTGATGTTAGCGGTGGGTCTCCATGTGGAACCTTTAAAGCACTGAGCTGTGACCGATCACAGGACTGGGTTTTGCAACCGCATGCTTTTATCGAGGCTGTCCCTTCAGTAGCTGCAATGACAGCAGACATCTGTGTCTGTAAAGGCCTGGGATCTAATGTCCACCTTGCCCAGAGCCGTCCTCTGGTCCTTCCGTCACGGTTGGCAGCATCGGCAGCAACCTCATGGACTTGGGGCCTGGTGACCCCTGAAGGCCCTGTGTTGCCTTCCGACCAGGCAGTCTGGTTCTCCTTTACCCTTTATCTTTTCCCGTCTGAGAAGCATGCTCCCTCAGATGACTGAAAAAACATGAATGGTGGTGTTCTCTCCCTGACCTCTGTCCTCACAGGAAGGACTCAGGGACTGAGCCTTTGTCCCTTGAGTCTTCTAAGCAGTCTCCCCCATCTCTGTTTCCTGGAACTTCCTTTCCAGATGTCTGGGATACATGCCTGACTCGGCCCAGCGTGCTTTGCCTTAGTGACTGGGGAACTGTATGATGGCAGGCAGTCTCTCGCCCTACACTCTTGGGACTTCCGTTTTCTTTTCTTTTTGGAAATAGTCTTAGTGTGTAGCCCTTGGCTGGCCTGGAACTCACTGTGTAGACAGACCAGGTTGGCTTCATAGAAATCTACCTGCCTCTGCCTCCCATGTGCTAAGATTAAAGGTGTGCACCACCACATGCAGGCTCTTGTTTACCTTCATTTACTTAAAATTGTATGTATGTGAGGGTTTTCCCTGCACATATATTTTACACAACATGAGTATGTACGATGCCCATGGAGGCCAGAAGAGGTCATCATATTCCTTGGAACTGGAGTTACAGAGGATTATGAGCCCCCATGTGGGTGCTGGGAACCCTGGGTCTTGTGGAAGAATAGCCAGTGCTCTTAACCACTGAGCCATCTCACCAGCCTCCAGTCTTGTTTACCTTTTAAATCAAACTTAAGTGCAAGATAGACATTTCCTTTATTAGTTCCTCCTTTATTGAAAGGAAGTGGCTGGGCCTGGTGGCACACACCTGTAATCCCGGCCTGGGAAAGGCTGAGGAATGAGTTCCAGGCCAATCTGAGATACGGTGGAAGACCCCTGTCTCAAATAAAGTAAAAATAAAATTTAAAAATTACAAGAGGATACAATGGTCCCTTAGCACCCACAGGGGATTGGTTCCAGGAGCCCCTGGAGATACCGATACCATAGATGTTCAAGAGTTTTATATAAAGTGTACAATTTGCATATAAGCTACACACCGTCTATATACTTTAAATCATCTGCATGTTATGTAGAGTCAGCATTTTTTGGTGCATGGTTGGTTGAATCTGTGGATATAGAACCTGTGGCTATGGAGGCCAACTCTAATCATTGTGGGAAAATGAGAAAATAAGGTACAATTGAGATATAACTACATATACACAAAAATAGGATTTACTCAGTGTTCATTCTTATATGTAGTTCTTAGCTCTGCCTAGTTTATGACCTAGGTAGGGGTCATATCAGTTGTCCTGTGTAAATGTGTAAATTCACTTAAAGGAATTACCCAGATGCCATCTACTGATTCGTGGGCCTTGTGTCTTTGTGTGGTCTGAGCATACAGCTTTTAGAAAAGGACAGGTATGCCTACTCAGGGTGCTGCTGGCCTAGCCTTTGTCACTCCCAGACTGGTTTGCTTCAGCTGGATGAGCTGGTTGTTTCAGATAGTGCAGAACTTGGCTAGAGGCTCCTTTGCCCCTAATGGCGAGAGTCAGAGAGCCATCGGTGTCCACCAGGGGGGGCTCCAGACTCACCACAGCCAGTCTTGAGACAGACTGCCTTCTTTCTGTCCTGGAGTCTCCCAGTCTTCTTTCTGTCCTGGAGTGTCCCAGCTGTGGGGACAATGTGGTGAAGGCAGGCCTGGCCCACATAGATTGTGAGCAAAGGAGATGGTCTCCCCTGACAAGCCCGGGCTGTGATGCTCGAACTGTTAAACTTCTCGGAGAAACAGCAAGAGAGGCAAAAAGAAAAGCCAAGGGAAGGGGCCTTGGGTTCTCTTCAGGGGCTTACGTGCTGCTCCATCTTCCTCCCAACAGATCCACAGATGAGCATGGCTGCCACCGCTGCCGTCAGTCCCAGCGACTACCTGCAGCCTGCTGCCGCTACTACCCAGGCAAGTGCGCAGTGGGCCCCAGGGGCCAGAGCTGCGCTGATCACTCAAGTGGCTTGTCCACCTCACTCAGAAGCCTTGCACTGTCACTGCAAACACCCAGGAAGGTCCCTTTGTCCTCATTCTCTGAACTAAGACAGCCGCTTGGCTAAGACCCTGAGACCAGTTAGTAAAGCCCCTGTTGCACAGGCCTGGCTCTAGGCACCCATGTAAAAAGCAGGGCATGGTGGTACATGCCTGTAGTCCTAGCTCTGCAGAGGCAGGGACAGAAGGATCCACTGGGGTTCACTGGCCAACTAGTCTTGCTCAGCAGTGAGTTCCAGATTCAGTGAGAGACCCTGTCGCAAAAAATAAGGTAAGCTGGAGAGATGACTCAGCAGTTAAGAGCACTGGCTGCTCTTCCAGAAGACCTGGGTTCAGTTCCCAGCACCCACATGGTAGCTCACAACTGTCTGTAACTCCAGTTCCAGGGGATCCAACATCCTCACATAGATGTACATGCAGGCAAAACACCAATGTATGTAAAATAAAAATAAATGAATCATTTAAAAATTAAAAAAAAGTTAAGGTGAAGGGGCTAGAGAGAGATGCTCAGTGGTAAAGAGCACTGGCTGCTCTTCCAGAGGACCCAGATTAATTTCTAGAACCCATATGGCAGCTCATAACTCTCCATACTTCAGTCCAAGGGAATCTGACACCCTTTCTGGCCTCTGAGAGCATCAGGCACTTGACATTGACGTACATGTAGGTAAAGCACTCACACATAAATAATCAAGAACAAGGTGGAGAGGGGTAGAGTAAGAATTTGACAGTAGTCTCTGACCTCCATACACAGACTCAAGTGTACCTACACACCCCTTCACACACATAAACGTGCATGCGTGTACATAACACACCGGAACTGAACCAGAAACTCGGGTTCCCTCCAAGCCTGCTACCCTTGAGAGAGCGGCCCCTGTATTGTCACCCTCTCCAGTCAGGAAGCACTTCACCCTGTGTCACCTCCTCTCCCCATCCCCTCTCCTCTGCCTGCTCTGTGCTAAGTCCATAGAACTCCATCCGAGATCTGGGCTCTGTCACTGTCCCTGCTAACACTAGCCCAGCCAGGCCAGTGGGGAGACAGCTGTGTCCAGGGCTGCCTCTGGGGCATCTCCTAAGAGGCCTTCCCTGTCTTTTTCCTTCACTCCGTGGAGCAGGAACCACTGCAGGGGGATGGGGATGCTGGTGGAGGCCTGCCATGGGGGTGGGGAGGAGAGAAGATCACTATGGCAGGGGTCTAGCCAGTCTTCCCATCTCACTCCTGTCCTCTGCTGATCTTTGCAGGACTCCCAGCCGTCCCCCTTGGCCCTGCTCGCTGCGACATGTAGCAAAATTGGCCCCCCAGCTGTCGAGGCTGCAGTGACACCTCCTGCACCCCCCCAGCCCACCCCACGGAAGCTGGTCCCCATCAAACCAGCCCCTCTCCCGCTCAGTCCCAGCAAGAATAGCTTTGGCCTCTTGTCATCTAAAGGAAATATTCTTCAGATTCAGGGCTCCCAACTGGGTGCCTCCTATCCTGGAGGGCAGTTGGTGTTTGCTATCCAGAACCCCACCGTGATCAACAAAGGGAGCCGGTCAAGTGCAAGTATACAGTACCAAGGGGTCCCTCAGATTCAAGGGAACAGTTCCCAGACCATCCAGGTGCAGCCCAATCTCACCAACCAGATCCAGATCATCCCAGGCACCAACCAAGCCATCATCACCCCCTCATCATCCGGCCATAAGCCTGTCCCCATCAAGCCAGCTCCTGTCCAGAAGTCAAATACGACTACCACCCCCGCGCAGAGTGGGGCCAACATGGTGAAGCTGACAGGTGGGGGCGGCAACGTGACGCTCACGCTGCCGGTCAACAACCTGGTGAACACCAGTGATGCTGGGACCCCCGCTCAGCTCCTCACCGAGAGCCCACCCACTCCATTGTCTAAGACTAACAAAAAGGCCAGGAAGAAGAGCCTTCCTGTCTCACAGCCATCAGTGGCTGTGGCCGAGCAAGTGGAGACGGTGCTGATTGAGACCACAGCAGACAACATCATCCAGGCAGGAAACAACCTGCTGATTGTCCAGAGCCCTGGGGGGGGCCAGCCAGCTGTGGTCCAGCAAGTCCAAGTGGTGCCCCCCAAGGCTGAGCAGCAGCAGGTGGTGCAGATCCCCCAGCAGGCACTTCGAGTGGTGCAGGCTGCCTCTGCCACCCTCCCCACCGTTCCCCAGAAGCCCTCCCAGAACTTTCAGATCCAGACAACTGAATCAGCACCAACCCAGGTAGGTACCACAGTCCCTCTGCCCAGCCTCCCTCTCCTCTGCTCACCCTTTGGCTTGCTTTTGAAACGGAGGCAGATCATCGCCAGATCTGATGGGAAGTTGGAGTCACCATCATTTGGGGTAGGCAGGAAATGGCTTCTGCCCTGGGGTCTCTTCGGGTCTTAGGCCAAGTAGTCCTGATCTGTAGAAATCACATAGAACAGGGATATCTAGGCTGTTTTATTCTTTCATTATGGGGTAGCTCTGGGTATAACTAGAGGGTAGATCGGAATGCTTTCATAATAAGAATTTCCATTATAAGATTAGAACAGCAAGAATGAGAATTCAAGTCAGAACCATAGAATTTGGTATAAAGTAGGAAAGTTCATGAGGAAAAGCTGCTGCCTACTGTTAATGACAAGAAAAATAACAGGTAGGAGCAGCTAGGTTTCTTCCTTTTTTGAGGCAGGGTCTCTCTAGATATCTCAGGTTGGCCTCCACCTCATCAAATTTACAATCCTCCTGCTTCAGCTTCAGTGCTGGGATTACAGTGTGAGCCTGTGAGCCACCGTACTTGCTTCTTTCCACCTGTGCTCATCCTCTTCTTCCCCCCAACCCTGGGGGAATGGTTCCCTTCTGCTCTGTTCACCTGTGTGAGTGTGTAAGTGGGCGTGTGGGTGCGAGTGTTTCCCCTCCAGTCTAGATTCCACATAAGGGAGAAGACGTGTTTGTTTTTCCGAGCCTGCCTGCCATGTTTCACTTCACACGATGCCCTCTCGTTCCTGGCTGCGCTGTGATCACACTGCCCCGGCCTCTGTCCCGGCCACCCTTCGGAAGGTGCCTTCACAGCTGCTGGTGGCGCTGCTGTCAAGTCTGGTCTTCCACTTCCCTCTTTTGCAGCTCTTCAACTCTCTCCCTTCGCTGCCAAGCGCCGGCCACTGTGTACTTTTGCAGCCGCCCTGCCCAGCACTTTTCAGTCTCTTCTGCTCCTTTCTTGTGTTGCGCCGCTCTAAAAGCAGACAGGAGCAGACGACTCAGAGACCCTCTCTTGGAGCCTAATGTTGCTGGAGGCAGCCCAGACAGTGAGGAGACTCCAGCAGCCGTGGGGCATCAAAGTGCCCCGTTCCCGGGTCACTGCTTATGTACAGGGAAATGATCATGAGAAGGAGTGCTCAAAATAAGTTAAACAATTTAGTCCAGTACAGTGGTTCACACATGTAATCTCAGCATTCAGGAGGCTGAGTCAGGGGGAGTGACATTAGTTCAAGTCCAGCCTGGACTACAGTGTGAGATTCTGTCTCAAAACACCAAAAAACAAACAAAAACTTAAAACCATAGCACCAATTAAGAATTTAGCAGAATTTGTTTTGAAACAGTGTTATGTAGCAGGCTGGCTTTTGAGTTTGCTATGCAGCTGATAGTGGTCTTGAACTTCTGACCTTCCTGCCTTTACCTCCTGAGTGCTGGGATTACAGAGGAGTCCACCAGCCTCAATGATTTTAGCAGACTTTAGCAGTGCTCGGCATGGGCTGGAGAGAGAGGTTAGTGGTTGAGAGACTGGCTGCTTTTTTCCAGAGGACTCAGGTTCGAGTCCCGGCACCCATGTGCTGGCTTACAACCCCCTGTAACTCCACTCCCAGAGGATCCAACGACCTCCTGCACCAGGCATACACATGATAAACAGACATGCATGTAGGCAAAACACCCACACAGTACAATGATAATAATAAAAATCAAGCCGGGCGGTGGTGGCGCACGCCTTTAATCCCAGCACTTGGGAGGCAGAGCCAGGCAGATCTCTGTGAGTTCGAGGCCAGCCTGGGCTACCGAGTGAGTTCCAGGAAAGGCACAAAGCTACACAGAGAAACCCTGTCTCGAAAAACCAAAAAAAAAAAAAAAAATAATAATAATAATAATAAAAATCAAACAGTGCTTAGCATCCACTTGGTACCATCCAAGGGAGAAGAGAGTCCTCTCACCTGACTCTGTATCAGAAACTAGAGAAGAGAATAACAGAAGGTGGGCAGGTTTTCTTTATTGACTCAGTCAACCTATTTACTTCCCTAAAGAAAGAACCAAATACAAAACGCTAAGATTTTAAAAAGGGATACATACTAGAAAACCGGGACTGAGACATGACATTTGTGTATTTATTAAGGGATGGCAGGTTTATGTGTTATCAAAAAGTCTTCAGTGATCCAGAAATTAAAAATAACCCCAATTAAAATCACAGCTGATCCAGATGTGGTGGTTCACACCTTTAATCCCAGCACTCAGGAGGCAGAGGCAGGTGGATCTCTGTTTGAGGCCAGCCTGGTCTACAGAATGAGTTCCAGGACAGCCAAGGCTACACAGAGAAAAACAAAAACAAATATATATATATACACACACAGAGACACACACACATACATATATGTGTCACAGCTGAATTTTTTTTACAAAGAAACTTTGTCATAAATTGTCACCATGAGTTTAAGGCCAGCCTGGTCTACAGAGCAAGATCCAGGAAAGGCGCAAAGGTACACAGAGAAACCCTGTCTTGAAAAACAAAACAAAACAAAACAAAACTTGTCACCATGATCCTCTTCTCACTTCCAAATGCTTTAATTCTCCCACACAAGCACATTTTCTGTACACACTACAGCGATCTCACTGGTGAAATCAGCAGTGAGATGCTGGTACAACTGGGAGGCTCCGCTAGGTTTCACTGCGTGTTCTGGTTGGTAATTCTTAAGATTTATTTATTTAGTATAGAATGTTCTGTCTGCATGTATGTCTGTCTGCAGGCCAGAAGAGGGCACCAGATCTCATTACAGATGGTTGTGAGCCACCATGTGGTTGCTGGGAATTGAACTCAGGACCTCTGGAAGAGCAGTCAGTGCTCTTAACCTCTGAGCCATCTCTCCAGCCCCCTGGTTGGTAATTCTTAAGGACTTGGCCTGAGGACTTGTCCACCTTCCCCCTGGTTGTCGCAGCTCTTCTCATCTAAACACTCCTCACACTCAGCTCCATGGGGCCAGGAATGAAACCCAGGACTTGGTGGGTCCTAGGCTCTCTGCTCTGGAACTACATCCCCAGCTCACTTGCTTTTAACTTGACTGTCATGACCTTGCTGCATTCCAAGGCTGCAGGCTGGTTACTCTGTAACATCCTCCAGTTTGTGTTTGTGTGCTGTTTCTTCCCCCGTGGGTGGATGCAGGCTGTCACGCTTTTGCTCAAGGGTCACAGAGTGGATGTGTGCTCTGTTCTAAGGCAGTGCCAGCTTTCTGTCTGTCCCATTGCTAGGGATGGTTACAGTGTCAATACCTGACAGATTTCCGCACTTTAATAGTTACTTTTGTGTGTGTGTGGCTGGAGACATCTCCCACCACTAAGTGGGTGAAGCACAGGCTATGCACTCTGGGGACCAGAGTGTGTGTCTCCAGAAGCCACATAAAGCTGGATGCAGTAGCTTACATCTGCCATCACAGTGCTCACAGAAGAGAGAGAGATGGGAGGAGACAGGAGAACTACCAGAAGCTCTGAGCCAGCCAGCCTGGCGTATGTAGCCGTGAACAAGAGGCCCCACCTCACAGAGGTGGAAGGCAAGGACTCATACCCAAGCTGTCCTGTGACTGCCACAAGTGTGCTTTAGCACATGTGTACCCGTACTCTCACACATGAGCACACCTATAACACACACACACACACACACACACACACACACACACACACACACACACGAGATAAAAATTACTTTTCTTTCTCTTTGTATTTCATCAGTATTTTGAAAAGAGATAACATTTTGGGATAAGATAAATATCCCGTTTCTCTTAAATTTTTAGATTTATTATTTTATTTTTTATGTATATGAGTGTTTTGACTGTGTGTATGTCTGGTGCCCGAGGAGGTCAGAAGGGGGCCTCAGATCCTCTAGAACTGGAGTTACAGATGATTGTGAGCTGCCATGTGGACGAGGGAAAACCTGGGTGCTCTGAAGAGCAGCCGGTGCTCCTAGCCACTGAGCCACCCCATCCTCCTTTTTTTTTTTTTTTTTTGCTTTTTTGTTTTGTTTTTGGTTTTGGTTTTTCGAGACAGGGTTTCTCTGTGTAGCTTTGCGCCTTTCCTGGAACTCACTTGGTAGCCCAGGCTGGCCTCGAACTCACAGAGATCCGCCTGGCTCTGCCTCCCGAGTGCTGGGATTAAAGGCGTGCGCCACCACCGCCCGGCTCCATCCTCCTTTTTTAAAGATGAGTTTGCTATATAGGTTAGGCTGGCCTGGGTGTCACTTTGTAGCCCGCACTGGTGTTGTGCTTTTTTTCTAATTTCCCAATTTTGAGATTTAACAGTTAATATCTTTCCTTGCTAAGCAAAGGTTTGGTCACAGGTCAGTAACCAGGTATACCAGGTTAGTGTGCTGTTAAATGTCAGTAGTGTCTGAGTTCATGTTTGGGCTGGTTGGAAGACAGGATGACAGACGGAGTTGTCCCCTTGGACAAGGAGGGCTGTGTGAAGGTGCTGGTGGTGTCATGTCTCTTAGGGCACTCTTCTCTCTGGTCCCTCAGGTTTATATTCGTACACCTTCTGGTGAGGTACAGACAGTCCTCGTCCAGGACAGCCCCCCAGCAACAGCTGCAACCACCTCAACCTCCACCTGTAACAGCCCTGCACCCCGAGCTCCCCATCTGAGCGGTACCAGCAAAAAGCATTCAGCTGCAATTCTCCGAAAAGAGCGACCCCTGCCAAAGATTGCACCTGCTGGGAGCATCATCAGCCTGAACGCTGCACAGCTGGCAGCAGCTGCTCAGGCCATGCAGACCATCAACATCAATGGAGTCCAGGTCCAGGGTGTGCCTGTCACCATCACCAACACCGGCGGTGAGGGAAAGTCCTGCAGCCAGGGTGTCGGCAGCGGGGCTTTGTATTCAGCTTGTGGGAATCCTGAGCCAGGCCCCTGGGATTCCCAGTAGCAGCCATGATGAGGTGGATGCTGTCCATCCAAGGTGATGCCCAGTGTTTGCCTGGTCTGCTCCAGCCTCAGGGCACGCACATGTGTATCTTCACACCTGATCCTTACAGTGGTATTGTGAGATAATAAGTCACATGTCCACATACGGTAACTTCGGGTGTTGAATAAGATGGGAGAAAATAGATTGTGTTTAAGTAATATACAAACTCAGATTAATTTGGATGGTCACCTGTCCGGGTCAGGTGACTATGCCATACCATGTAAAGGAAGTAAAGGAATGATTCCCTTTTTTGTGGTGTGGGGGGGGGGGGGGGTTGGGGAGACTGTACATTTCGAGACGGGGTTTCTCTGTGTAGCTCTGGATATCCTGGAACTCACTCTGTAAACCAGGCTGGCCTTGAACTCAGAGATCCACCTGCCTCTGCCTCTGCCTCTGCCTCTTAAGTGCTAGGTTCAAAGGCGTGTGCCACCACTGCCCAGTTAAGGAAGACTTCTTAAAGAGAAAGGTTGGTGTTGAGGTTGAGCAGAAGAGAAGGGTGTCCTGGACAGTAGGACCAGTTTGTACTGCACATGAGTTCAGTGATGGTGCATGCTGTGAATGCGTCTTGAAAATAAGAGGGAGAGGGACAGGAGAGATGGCTCTGTGGTTAAGAGCACTGGCTGCTCTTCCAAAGCCTGGGTTTAATTCCCAGCACCCCCATGGTGGCTCATAATAGTCTATAATTAGTCTCATAGTATCTGATGCCCTCTTCTGGTATATAGATATACATGCATACAAAACACCTCTCTATATAAAATACGGAAATAAATCTTTAAAAAAATAGGGAAGAGGGAGGAGAGCTGAAGCGCCTTGCAGACGCAGTTTCTTCTGCACCTGGGAATAGGGCAGCTTTCAAGGTAGTGAGAGTTCATGGCTTTCTTCCTCCCTAATGAATTTTTATGCATTTGGTTTGTCCACTTTTAGGGGAGGACAAGGTAGCCTAGAATGACTTCCCATGAATAAAAGTTCTTGGGAGAGTTTCCTGCCAGTATCTCAGAGAGACCTCTGGCTCTCACTCCTCTCCAGCGTATTAGTTGCCATGACTCATCCTTCACCTGTGCAGGAGGGAGAGAAGGTCTGGCCTGGGCTTCCTTTCCTGAACCACGTCCTTCTCTTTTTCACAGGGCAGCAGCAGCTGACAGTGCAGAACGTTTCTGGAAACAACCTGACCATTAGTGGGCTGAGCCCCACCCAGATCCAGCTGCAGATGGAGCAGGCCCTGGCAGGAGAGGCCCAGCCCGGGGAGAAGAGGCGGCGGATGGCCTGCACGTGTCCCAACTGCAAGGACGGGGAGAGGAGGTAATACACGGCGGGGCCAAACCCACAGCCTGGCAGATGCCCTGCTCCACGGCTGCTCTTGGACAAGTGGCAGCTGCCAGCTCCTGCCTCCCACTTTTCCTGAGCTCTGACCGACCTCCCCCGGCTTCTGTCCATTCTTTCCCTTCTTCCCATTTCCTCTCCCTACTCTGAACCCAACCCCCTCAGGTCTGGGGAGCAGGGCAAGAAGAAGCACGTGTGCCACATCCCCGACTGCGGCAAGACCTTCCGGAAGACATCCTTGCTTCGGGCCCATGTCCGCCTACACACCGGCGAGCGACCCTTTGTCTGCAACTGGTTCTTCTGTGGAAAGAGGTTCACACGGAGCGATGAGCTCCAGCGACATGCTCGAACCCACACAGGTCAGTTTCCCCCACACCCTTCAGCTGGCCTTGAGCGCCATCGCCCTGCCAGTGCAGGAGCTCTACACCATGCAGATCACCCCGAGAGTTGTTGCACGTCCAGCGGCAGGCGCTGCATTACACAGCAGTGACAACCTCTTGTCATTTCTGCAGAGCTGGTTACCAAGCACTGAGCTGGGCAACTGTCGTCCTATCAGTAGAGAGGTGGAGGCAGGAGGATCAGGAATTCAGAGCCAGCCCGGGTAACCTGAGAGACTGTGTCACAAGTAAAAATAAACCAGAAAAACCCAGCGAGCACTGATGAGGTTTGCCAGGCACTGTGTGTTTTACAGTTTCAGATAACTTCAGTTAATCGCAGTCAGGCCTCGGAGAGGCTTGGAGAAGTGGCTCCTGGTAGACAAGCTGGGTTCCAATCCAGACCCACTTTTTTTTTGTTTTGTTTTGTTTTTGAGATAGGTTCTGGAGATGTACCAGTTTGTCTTAGGGCTCGGCCTTCTGTGCTTGGAGCACAGGCAGGAATCTTCGTGAACTAAAGCACCTGGCTTCCTAACCCTCTTTGTTTTTTTGGTTGTGGAGCGGGGATGATGACAAGATTCTGCTTGGTGTTCCAGGCTGCCCTTGAACTTGCATCGGTCTTGCCTCAGCCTTCCAAGTGTTGGGATTATAGGTGTGAATCACCACACCTCGCTCTTTTTTTCCTTAAAGACAGGATTTTGTTGTGTAGTCTAGGTTTACCTTAAACTCATGGCACCCCTCTTGTCTCCTAACTGCTGGGATTACAGGCTTGTTCCAGCATTACTGCGGGCTGCCCTGAGAGCAGCCGAGGCTTGGTATCAGGGTCGCTGTCACAGGTCTGTGCTTTAATGTACTGAAATGAATACAGGCCAAACTATAGAAAAGGGTCCTAAAGTTGTCCTGGGCATGCCCAGTGTCCACAGGTACAGTGTAGATACTGCTGTAGTGAAGAATGATGCCCTGTTGAGCAGAGACTGGAGGTAGGGGACGTGTGACCCAAACTTACAGCTTCCGGCTAGAGGCAGGAGTGTAAATACCCTGACAGCATGGTCCAGGATGTCCTCCTGTGAGGAGGAAGGTGTTGATCAAAGTCTGAAGTCCGGGGGCTGGAGAGATGGCTCAGAGGTTAAGAACACTGCTTGTTCTTCCAAAGGTCCTGAGTTCAATTCCCAGCAACCACATGGTGGCTCACAACCATCTGTAATGAGATCTGGTGCCCTCTTCTGGCTTGCAGGGATATGTACAGACAGAACACTGTATACATAATAAATAAATCTTAAAAAAATAATAAAAAAAAAAAAAAAAAAAAAAAGTCTGAAGTCCAAGGTCCACAGCCCAGAATGAATCAGGTGTACAGAGGCTCCAGGACAAGGGACAAGGACCCGACTGGAGCCAGGTAGGTTAGAAGGGACGGCTGGGGCAGAGAGGTGAGGTCAGTAGACAGCAGGAAGGTGCCCTGTTAGCGGAATATGCAGATACGGCCCAGTGGCTTTTCCAGGGGCTCTCACGTGTGCTTCTCCTTGTGGGACTGTGGTGGTGTCTGTACGTAGGCTCTTTGCTAACAGTTCTTTCCTCTCCCCAGGCGACAAGCGCTTTGAGTGCGCCCAGTGTCAGAAGCGCTTCATGAGGAGTGACCACCTCACCAAGCATTACAAGACCCACCTTGTCACGAAGAACTTGTAAGGCCGACTGAGGCAGGAGGCCCTGAAGATGGAATCCCCCATCTGACTGGCCTGGGTCGATGGTGGACAGGTGCCCACAACTGCCCTGGGCAGCCCTCACCCCACTCCTGTTCTGTGGCTGTGTCCCCACAGGGAGGGGAGGGGCTCTTCTCCTGTGCTCTCCTCCTTCCAAAGGCCTTTCCCTTCTCATCGTGAGCTCCTGGCCTGCCCAGGCTGTGCACACTGGCCATGCCCAATGAGACGTTCTAAACCAGGACGCGTGGGGACCCTTATTTCCAAAGGAAAAACATGCATTTCACTCCGTCGAGGAGCAAAGTGAGCCCCCTATCCCAACCCATTCCCTGCCCCAACACTGCCGGAGTCCCATTGTGCCATGCCCCCCAATCCTGTGCCTCCTTGTCCCCAGTTACCTCCTCCCCTAGCCGCTAGGGACACCCCGGGACCCTGTACCCAGCCTCCCATGGGCACCCACCTCTGCGGAGGCTTGGGAGGCTGCCTCCACTCCACTGCCCAGCCCTGCCACGGCTCTCCTCCAGACATTCCAACTTCCTGTTCGAAAGGTCAGATGCCGGCGGACTCCTCCACTCCTTTTCTATGGAGAACGTTGCCTTATACTCAGACTTCAGATGATGAACACTGTGTATGTGTGTGCTTTAAAGACATTTATTTAATTGCTCCCTCTTCCTTTCTTTACTAGCCGCCTCCCGCTCGCCTGCGTTCAGTTTAGGGTTTTGGGGGACAATGCTGAGCATAGGAGTTTTTTTCCCACTAACAATTCTTTTCTAAATGACACACCATTTCAACTCTGATCTGGACTCACATGAAAACACCTTCCATTCTGACCCCTCCACATCCTCTCATCTCATCACCCTACCTGCCCAAGCTCTATTGTGTACAGTGTATATTGTATAATAGACGATTGTGTCTACGACATGTTTTAAAAAAAACATATTGCTTGTTATTTTTGAGGCTTTTAAATTAAACAAAAATCCAACTTTATTTTTCGTTGTAACTGCTTGAGGATGTTTTATTAATTAAGTGACAGATTTGTTATCCTTTATTAACGATGTATTTTGTTGGTCAGTGCTGGGCTGACAAAAATTTTTCTTGCTAATAAATTTAGTTGCCCGAGGCAAAGTCTGCTCTTGGCAGTTGGGCTCCTTCTGTCCCTTTATTACTTCAGAGGTCTCAGAGGGGACTTCTGAGGAGGGAGCCATGCGCTCTCAACTTACCCTCCTGGCCCAAAGGAGAGGAGTGCTCAGAGCACCTCTGAGGACCTCCGGAGTCCAGAGACTAACGCAAATGTCTCTGTTTTTTCCTTCCATTAACCAGTCTTGCTTCAGCCACAGAGACAACTAGAAAGGACTTCCTGAGCTGGCAGACCAACTACTCTAAGCCCCAGCCCTGGAGGAAGGCGTTTGCCTCCCAGTGCCTAAGAAGCTAGCAGAGGAGTTAAGAACCTTGGTTTACGAGCCAGGCAGCAGTGGCGCACACCTTTAATCCCGGCACTTGGGAGGCAGAGCCAGGCGGATCTCTGTGAGTTTGAGGCCAGCCTGGGCTGCAGAGCAAGATCCAGGACAGGTACCAAAACTACAGAGAAACCGTCTCACAAAACAAAACAAAAAAAGAACCTTGTCTTACAAGATATGAGTTTGCACAAAACATCGTTCCCATGGAGCGAGAGTTCTTCCCACAGTGGAGGACCAAGCAGGTTCTTCCGGGTCAGCAGCTAGAGGCCCAACTTTTCCTGCGAGAGGACCCTGGCTAGCCTTGGTTCTGCTTCTCTTCTGTCCCCTCACCCAGCCCCTCAGAGAGGACAGCTGGTTGGCCGTGTCTCTGGGTTTCAGTGGGGCTGCAGATCTGAAATTGTGTTGGGGACTTTTCCATCTTGACAGAACTACAGAGAAGTCAGGGGTTGGGATTTCTTCCGATTTAAAACTGGAATTGGTGTGTAAGCCTCGGGGGCCTGAAGAGTAGCAGCCAGGCTGGAGGAAGAGGCCAGCCTGCCTCAGACATGTAGAAAAGTGGACACTTTGTACTTACCCTCGACCAGCCAGGACTGCAGCTCTGCTGAGTGCCCAGAAGTCTTCCCTTGTAACTTGCACTAGCCAACAGCTTTTCCCAGAGTCAGGCAGCTCCCCATACCTGAAAAACAAAAAGCCACGGATCTCAGGTGCATCTGGGCTCTCTGCCCCGCCCCGCTCCCCCCCAGGGTTTCTTTGTGTGCTGGGATTAAATTCCCGAGTGCTGGGATTAAAGGCGTGTGCCACTGCTGCCCAGCGGGCTCTCTGCCCTTAATCGCTTCTCTGTCAGCAAAGAGTGACCCTTGCTGCCTATTCTCAAGCCCTTTGGGCATTATTAGACCAATAGCTGGATCAGCCCTGGCATAGAAGCCTCATTAGCCCATCAGCCTGCATCTCAGTGTAGCCCTGGCGGCTGGGGAAGGAATCCTGGGTTCTGAATTGCTGTGTTCTGAATCCTGGGTAGTGCAAAGGGGAGCATTAACCAACTGACCTCTTTCTACCACACACTGCCGTAGGCACAAGGGTTACCTGGGGGCCGACTCCTGTACTTTATGCTGAGCTGACTCTGTGGCCTCCTTTGTGAACAAGATGGTGCCAACCCCCAGCTAGAAGGAGCAGGCGGGCATATGGGAGTTCCTTTCTTGGGGAGACATGCAGATATACAGGCTGTGACGTTCTACCCATGCCTGTTGCAAGATGCCTGGGATATTTTGTTTGTTCAAGATTTATTATTTTAAATTATGTGTAGGTATGTGTGTGTCTGCATGTGGGCATGTGTACATGAGGGCATGTACACTTAAGAGGCCAGAGGCATCAGATCCCCTGGAGCTTGAGGTACAGACAAGTTGGGAGCCTGGGAACTGAATCCATGTCCTCTGGAAGAGCAGCAAGTGCTCCAAACCCCTGGCCACCTCTCCAGCCCCTGGATGCCTGAGTTTTACAAGGAGGAAAACATGTTCTACCTAGCATTGAGATCAAGGAATGGAAAGACTCCTACCTGGGAAGATGGCTCAGTGGGTAAAGTGCTGTGTAAGCATAAGGACCTGAGTTCGATCCCACATAAAAAGCCAGCCTGGGAAGGCTGGAGAGATGGCTCAGTGGTTAAGAGCACTGGCTGCTCTTCCAAAGGACCCAGGTTCAATTCCCAGCACCCACATAGCAGCAACTGTAACTCCAGTTCCAGAGGATCTGACACCCTCATACAGACATACAAAGCAAGACATTAAAGCACATAAATTAAAAATAAATCATTAAAAAGGCCAGTGCTGGTAGTATGTTTGTTATCTCAGTCCTGGGAGGCAGAGATAGGCAGATCCAAGAGAGAACCTGTCTCAAAAAATCAAGGTGGATATCTCCTAAGTAAAACCATCCAAAGGTGACCCCTGGCCTGTATATGTTTGCACTTGTGCAAGCACACGACTGTACACACACACACCCCAAAAGTTCAGTTGCAAATGGGCCCTGTCTGGCTTTAACCCATCCTGCATCTGAGAGCTGCAGCGGTCAAGGCTGTTGTGCCTACCCTCCCCTGAGCAAGAGACCTCCACCAGATACTTGAAGGGGCTCTTTTTTCTTTTCTTTTTTTTTCTTTTCGTTTTCGTTTGTTTGTTTTTCAAGACAGGGTTTCTCTGTGTAGCTTTGGAGCCTACACTCACTCTGTAGCCCAGGCTGACCTCAAACTCATAGAGATGTGCCTGCCTCTGCCTCCTGAGTGCTGGGATTAAAAGCGTGCACCACCGCCACCGGCTTGAAGGGGCTCCTGATGACTAGGTTCAAGCCACACCCAGAGGTTTAAGGGGGCCCCTACAACCCATGGTTGTTCTTTCCCGGGTTCCTTTCTCAGGTCATCTTACCAAAGCTCTCCCTCGAGTCCTTGCCTCTGTTCCCCTCACAGTCAACACTGCAGCTCTTTAGCCCAGACACCAGGATTACTTCCTGGAGAAGCAGCAGGAAAGACCTACTTCCTGAGGGCAAACCCTAACAATGTACCACTTTGTTTTGTTTCTTTTGGGCTTTCTGAGACAATCTTAGACAGCACTCAAGGGGGCCCTGAACTCAAGACCCTCCAACCTCAGCCTCCTGAGTGTGGGGACTCCAGGCATGAGCCACCACACACAGGGTTTTTTTTGTTTTTTGGGTTTTTTTTGGTTTTTCGAGACAGGGTTTCTGTGTAGCTTTGGAGCCTGTCCTGGATCTTACTCTGTAGACCAGGCTGGCCTCAAACTCACAAAGATCCTCCTGGCTCTGCCTCCCAAGTGCTGGGATTAAAGGCGTGCGCCACCACCGCCCGGCTGCTTTGCTTTTTTTTTCTTCTCCTTTTTTATTTATTTTTATTTTTCAAGACAGGGTTTCTCTGTATAATAGCCCTGGCTCTCCTGGAACTAGCTCTGTAGACCAGGATGGCCTTGAACTCATAGAGATCCTTCTGCTACCTCTGTGGCACACGCCTTTAATGACAGCACTCGGAGGCAGAGCCAGGCGGATCTCTGAGTTCAAGGCCAGCCTGGTCTACAGAACGAGATCCAGGACAGGCACCAAAACTACACAGAGACAAAAAAGGCATATGATACCACTGTTGGGCTTCTTTTTAAAAACATTTATTTATTTCTTATTTTATGTGCATAAATGTTTTGTCTGCATATATGTATCTGTACCACATGCATGCAGTGCCCACAAAAGCCAGAAGAGGGTAATGGCTCCCCTGGAACTGGAGTTACAGACAGCTGTGATCCACCAGGTAGGTGTTGGGAACTGCACCCTGGTTCTATGCAAGAGCAGCCATTGCTCTCCAGCACCTATTTTTTTTTTTAAATTAGCAAACCTTCCTTCCAACTGTCCCATTTACTTTACAATTATCTTTTTAGGGCCTTTGTGTATTAGCTACTATTCTTGTCACTGTGAAAATTACCTGAGCTTAAGGAAGGATTAATTTTGGCTCAGGATTTGAGGGAATAGATTGTGGTTGGGAGGCCATGGTGGTTGGGTGTGTGGGATGCTGGTCATGCTGAAGCTATAGTTAGGAAGCAGAATGAGATGAACCTCAGTGCTCAGTTGGCTTCCCTTCCCCGCTTTTAGTCAGTCGAGGACCCCAGCCCAGGATGCGTCTTCGTCAGCTCCACCTCTCTGGGAACATGATTCTTAATCTACACAAGTTAGCAAAGGTTGACTACCACCCTTATCAACTGTGATCAAACACATCACTTTACAGCATCCTACCTCATAATATAAGATGCATCGAATCCATCTCTAGAAGTCTCCGAAGTCTTGACAGTTCTCACAGAGGTCAATGCAGTCCCTACGGAAGCTCAGGAAACCTCTTTCACTGTGAGCCTCTTCTGAGGGCCACAGGAATATATCATAAAAACTCAGCTGGTTTTGGCAAAGTCAAAACTACCTGAAGGGATCAAGGAATTCCTTTAGAGGAAGCCAAAGTCCAAGAAGCTTTTGGTGTTACTTGGCTTGTTATATATCAGCTGTCTTCTGTTATGAAAATCATGTGTGCCTTCAGAGTTTTCCCAGTCGATTTTTCCCTAAGAAGGGCTACCAGTGTGAACTGATCACTCTCTGGACATACACATTCCAGGTATTTGGAGAACAGCCTCAGGAAAGGCTTCTTCCTTAGCCACTTCCGAGGACTAACAGTGATAACAGTCCACATGCAAGTCTCCTGATTTAAGGTAAATTCTACAAGGGGACACCGCCTAGGTCAGGTGGACGTTAAGTAATAGCTTTACACAATTTAGCTCGGACCCTCCTTTCTTACAGCCTTACTAACTTTATAGACCTCTAACTCCTTACCTAACCACTTCTAGGAGTATTTAGATAACCTTCTGTACTGACAGCTATGCTCAGCCCAAACCCCAGTTCAAGCCTCCCTGTAATTATCATCATTGGCAGCATCAGGCCAGGTTCATCCCCAGATGGAGGAAAGTACCTTATCAGAGATACCTCTGTGCTCTCTAAGAACAGACTTAAGCATCCAGGCTATCCATTTGAGAAAGCTTGGTGGATGTGCCAGTTAAGCTTAACTTCCTCCTTTCTCAAATCTTACCTCTAGTTCCAGATCTCTCTTTAACTATCACCAGAGGCATTTAGCTGTACACAGGTTGCCTAGGGACTGAACACACCTCCCCCCACCCTGCAGAAAAAATGGCAGATAGCTTGAACAGATAGGAGCCGCAGGAAAAAAGAAGGCAGTTTTATTTTCTCCCATTGACCTAGCAACTTACAGATTTTTAGCAGAAAAGCACAACACAGGCCTGTTTGGTAACTTCAAGACGAAGGGAAAACATAGGAAAGGAGTCAACAGCAAACTTCTTAGATGACTGCCAAGGAAGGGAGAGGCCATCAAACCCAGCGATTTCTTCCCCATCTCCTCTGGTTTCCATTTGCCGTTATGGTGCTGGCAATGGAACCCGGAGCCTGGTGCATGAGAGACCAGTGCTCTGCCACTGAGCTGCATCCCTAACCCTTAATGAAGACTTTCTTTCCTTTTTCTTTCTTTTCCCCTTGGTTTTTTGAGACAGGGTTTCTCTGTGTAGCTCTGGCTGTCCTGGAACTCGCTCTGTAGACCAGGCTGGTCTTGAACTCACAGAGATCTTCCTGCCTCGGCCTCCCCGAATGCTGGGATTAAAGGTGTGTGCCACCACCGCCCGGCTTGAAATCTTTCTTTTGAGACAAATTCTTGCTAAGCCCCTCAGGCTGGCCTCAAACTCATGATCCTCCTGCCTCACCTTCCCAGGTAGCTGGCTCCCAGGCACATTCCATCACACCTGCCCCTCTCAAAGTGGTCTCAAACAAACAAAAACACCCACCACAAAGTTAGGCTCTTGGCTTCACAATGTTGTAAGATAAAAAATTAGAACCAATGGATCTAAAAGGCGGCCCTCACTACCTTCACAGTAGGTCTTCAGCCAGGAGCCCAAGTCTCTGCCAGCTCATCTCTCCTGTTTCTCACTCTCTGGCTCCCGTAGCATCCCATCGCTCCAAGGTCCCAGGTGCATCTGCTGTTACCGGCCACCTCCCCTCTTCCCGAACGCCTGTTCCACTGCCCATCTGGCAAATACTCCTTAAGACAAATCTATTGTTGGCTCCCTTGATGAAGCCTTTCTGGACCGACTGTCCCCTTTGGTTCTGTTTTCCTTTGCCTAACCGAAACAGATTAACCACCCACGATTCTCTCTGGCTTTAGATCTGCCGCTGTGAACGGCAACCATGTTATTGCCTTCACTTTGGTATTGTAAGACCTGCTGGCTCAATGCCCGGTCCAAAGGCAGTCTTCAGCAAACCTTTATCGAATGGATAGGCTGCATAAATGCACATCTCGAGGTACTTTTTCCTTTCCTTTTTTTTTTTTTTTTTTTTTAAGGCAGGGGTCACTATGTAGCGGAGTTGGATCTCAGGATCCTTTCACCTCAGTCTCCCAAGTGCTGGAGTCACAGGTGTGTGGCACCACATCCAGCTGGTGCTCTTGTCTTTAAAGTCTTAGTACCTATGAGACCCCAGCTCCAATGTAACAGTAGCCCAGAGTGGAAGCTGGTAAAGAACATGAATGACTACTTAGGACACCTGCAAGGGCCAGAAAACTGTCTCCATCACGTTCATGGGAGAAAACAAGATTGGTACCGAAACTTCCGGCCGGCGAAGAACCCATAGACTCATACAGTTAAGTGAAGAACCCACAGACTCATAGAGTTAAGTGAAGAACCCATAGACTCATACAGTTAAGTGAAGAACCCACAGACTCATACAATTAGGGTGAAGAACCCATAGACTCATACAGTTAAGTGAAGAACCCATGGACTCATACAGTTAAGTGAAGAACCCACGGACTCATACAGTTAAGTGAAGAACCCATGGACTCATACAGTTAAGTGAAGAACCCACGGACTCATACAGTTAAGTGAAGAACCCACGGACTCATACAGTTAAGTGAAGAACCCATAGACTCATACAGTTAAGTGAAGAACCCATGGACTCATACAGTTAAGTGAAGAACCCATGGACTCATACAGTTAAGTGAAGAACCCATGGACTCATACAGTTAAGGTTTGTCTTTTTTTTTTTTTTTTTGAGACAGGGTTTTATGGGAGTCCAGGCTAGCCTCACACCTGCTACGTAGCTAAGGCTGGCCTTAACAAGTGCTGAGATTACCTGTAGGCATGCACCACTAAATGCCCGGCAAGCTTCGTCTTGTTTCTGTGTAGCAGACTCCATTGGCTCAAGCCATGAACACACGATGACAGGTCCCCACTGCAGACGCTAGACAGGCCAAGAAGTTCCCTTACCTGGCACGGTCCTAGGTGCCTGACTAGATGGCTCTTGTGGCTCCCGTTCCAGAGGCTGGCAGACACCAGGGCTATAGTCATCTCCACCACACCTGCTTCTCAGCCCTACACCCACAGCCTGACATCATTTTGCGGGGACCCGTCCCCCTGTATCCTCCGCTGGCTATTGCTGGCATTGACTAAGAACTATGCCTCCCCACTACTTAGGAAGGAAAAAAATGTGAAAAGGGGGGAGTAACCAAGATGCGAGAGGCCTGGGAGAGGGACAACCTTCCGTCTGTTAGAGCAGTGGCTAGTAAAACTCCACTGCCCAGGGAAAGGATGCTCTGAGGCCAGTCCACCCCGTGGGAAAACGAGGCAGGAGTGGGCTCCAGGTCATAAGGAAGACCATTCTGGTCTGGGGTAGCCTGGTCCCAATTTTCCCTCTTCTTTCTATTCAGCTGCCTTCCTTCTCACCTCAGAGTCTCCCCCATGACCTCAGAGCATCTTCCCAGCCCCCAGAGTCCCACCCATCCTCAGGGCCCTCAGCACCTGTGGTGTGTGGTCCACAAGCCGCTTCAACCCGCCCTGCCCTCAAGACACAATCTTCGGCCAGCCTAACCCCCTCTTTCTCTGCGTCCCCGTCACCTTGCTTCAGAGTCCGGCCCCAGTGCCATGTTTCCTCCCACAGTCTACCAACCTCCGCTGCCAGGAGGTTGCCTCCTGCTCTAGGCTCTTCTTCAGGAGCCCAGCCACTTCATGCAGACCACTCCTCCCCAGCTCCCGGGACTTCGCCCTGCCCCCTGCCTCGGCTGCAGCGGTCCCTATACCTTTAACAAACCTCCACGTGCGTGCTAACGGCGGTGACAGCATTTCCTCGTCTCTGCTCCTCCCGTGCCGGGAGGCGCAGCCCATTGGCTGCTGGCTTCCTCTGTGCTCCTTCGAATTGGTCTCGCTTCAGGAAACTCAAACCAATGAGCTCTCCGCGTCGGTCTCCCCGCTCCGATCCTGGACAGCTATTGGCTGTCCTGGCCCCTGGGCTCCGAGAATTTACGACTTGTGAGCTTGTCTGGGCCACTAGCAAATTCTTCCCAGGCTAGACACGCAGGCTAAGCAATTGGTTCCGAACCCGGAGGAACCCAGGGCCAGGCGACGCCGGGTCACGTGGCTGGCTGCCTACATGACGTGCGGGCTGCTGAGCGTCACCGTGACGTTCAGGCGACCTTCCAAGTGGCCAGGTTACCTCCGTCACCTGTGTTGGGGTGCTGTCATGGACCTGGGACCGATGCGCAAGAGTTACCGCGGGGACCGAGAGGTGCAGCCGCTGCCGCCGGGGCACGAAAAGGGGGTGTCCCTGAGTCAACTACCACGGGGTTGGAGGAGCGCCGTGGGGCCTCAGGGGCCACTTATAGGGCAACCGGATTTAGGGATCACCCTGATGGGGAAAAGGGGGTTTCAGAGACAGCAACTGGGGAGGAAAACGTAGGATAAAGGTGTGCTCATAGGCTCCTGTCGCAGTGGTAAGGGGTACTGACTTCAGAACCCACCCATGTTGGAACCCAGCCCTTTTCTGACCATATTACCTTGGGCAATTTATCCTCTCTGGGCCTCAGTTTACTAACCTGTAAAGTGATAATATTTACTTTATAGATGCTGTGGATTTAGGGTTTTTCTTTCTTTCTTATTTTTTTTTTTTTTGTTTTTTGTTTGTTTGTTTGTTTTGTTTTTCAGAGACAGGGTTTCTCCGTGTAGTTTTGGTGCCTGTCCTGGATCTCGCTCTGTAGACCAGGCTGGCCTCGAACTCACAGAGATCCGCCTGCCTCTGCCTCCTGAGTGTTGAGATTAAAGGCGTGCACCACCGCCGGGCGATTTAGGGTTTTTCTAATGTTTACGTTTTTTATTCATTTAGTGTGTGTGTGTGTGTGTGTGTGTGTGTGTGTGTGTGTGTGTGTGTGTGTAGGTCAGAGGACAACTTTTCAGTTTTTTTTCTTCTACCGTGAAGGTCGCCCAGGATTGAACTCAGGTCGTCAGGCTTGGTGGCAGATGCCTTTCTTTACCTGCTGAGCCATCCCAACAGCCTGTATTTAGGCATTTGGAAAGTACTTAAAACAGTCACAAAATAAAGAAGGCCGGGTGTGGTGGCACATGCCTTTAATCCCAGTACTCAGAAGGCAGAGGCCAACCTGATTGACAAATCAAGTTCCAGGACAGCTAGGGCTGTTACACAGAGAAACCCTGTCTCGAAAACCAATAATAATAAAAATAAAAAAGAAGTGGAGGGTGGGTCTGTCGCTCAGTTGATAGAGTTCTTTCCTGGGGTGCACAGAGGTTCTGGATTTTATCCTTAGCGCAAATGGATCCAACGTTCGGGGTCATTCATCCTTCTGCTACCCAGTGAGTTCAAGGCTAACCTGGAAATTCTTAGTTTTTACCGCCCTCAGCACCTCCTGGGTCTTTTCCTGTCCCCTCCTCGGGTCAGAGAGATAGATCCGTTTTGGAATTGAGATCTAGAGCTACAGCCGCAAAGTGTAATTGTATGTGAGCATTTTCGGAAGTGCGGGTTTTCGTGAAACTTAGAACTAAATGATGAGGTGGCCCACAGGAATTTCATCACCCTCGAACCCTGGTTCACCCCTTTGTGGTTATGAGACACAGAAACTTTTTTTTTTTTTTTTTGGTTTTTCGAGACAGGATTTCTCTGAGTAGCTTTGCGCCTTTCCTGGGACTCACTTGGTAGCCCAGGCTGGCCTCGAACTCGCAGAGATCCGCCTGCCTCTGCCTCCCAAGTGCTGGGATTAAAGGCGTGCGCCACCACCGCCCGGCGAGACACAGAAACTTATTGGGCCATTTTATGCCTGTAAATGGGCACAGAACCTACTTCCTGAGGACTGAACCCAGGGCCTTGCGCTTGCTAGGCAAGTGCTCTACCACTGAGCTAAATCCCCAAACCCGGGGGTGCTTTTTTGTTTCAAGGTCACTGTTAGGAAGACTAAATGCATTTACATTTGAAAAGCACCTCAACCCATACTGGGCACAGAGTAAGTAAGCATTATGTGTTCATTAAATGAAGTCAAACTCTCTTCCTAGGCATTTGAGGAGGCTCATCTGACCTCTCTGGACCCCATGAAGCAGTTTGCTTCCTGGTTTGAGGAGGCTGTTCAGTGTCCAGACATAGGAGAAGCCAATGCTATGTGTCTGGCTACCTGCACCAGGTAGGCACAGGCATGGGCCCCTGTGTGGGTGGGTCCAGGTGGAGTGGGAGACTTAGGAAGATCGACCCACACTAAGTGCACTCAACTGTATGTCTGCGGTTCTGTTATAAAGCCCCAGTTGAGTTACTGATCTTCTCTGAGCCCCAGGAAACCAGTCCTTAACTGGTAAACCAAAAGCCAGTGCACTAAATACTCTTCAGTGATCAAATGCAATTCCTTATACTTGATGTATCCACTCACGACTCCTGACCCCTGGTCTCCCTCATGCTCAAGCCCCTTCCCCTCTTTTGAAACCCAGCATAGGATTGCCAGTCAGTCCTACCCTTGAAGAGATCTGTCTCTCTCTCTCTCTTTGTCTCTGCCTCTCTATCTCTCTTTGGCCTCAAACTCAGCACTGCCTCCGAGTGCTGGAATTAAAGGTGGGCCACCACTGCCCGGCAAGAGATCTCTTATATTAGCCTCTTAATTCAGTTGTTCACGTCCGGTCTTATGAAAGCACCAGGCTTCACCACAGGACTTTGACACCGGCCTCCGAGTATTACCCAGAGCTCTGAGCAGAGGACCGTCCGTCGTCACCCCTTTTGAGTGATCAGTTAATTGGCTCAGTGCTTCGTTGCTGGCCTGTTCTCTTCCAGCCTTACAGGCTTTTTCAGAGTTGTTACAGCAAAGTACTAGGGACTGGGTGGCTCAGGCAAGGAACGTTTACTTTTTACACGTCTGGAGGCTGGAAGTCCAAGAGCGAGCGACTGTCGGGGATGCTGTGCGCCGTACGTCCCTTAGGGGGATACTGTTTGATCCACACGGAGCCCCCAGACGGTGGCACCACATTTGTGCCCAAGGGCACTGTGTGATGGTGTTGGACCCCACAGCTTGACTCCCCCCCCCCCGCCCCCCCCAGTTCGTGACTATGCGTTTGTTTATGTGATCACACGATTGATGTTTGCCTCACTAAGGGCGTGGCTGAAGGAAGGGGTTGCTCAGGGGTGAGAACACGAGTGGGTTCTGACCTGGTGCTCTGCTGTGTGCCCCTAGAGATGGAAAACCCTCCGCCCGCATGCTGCTGCTGAAGGGCTTTGGCAAGGATGGCTTCCGCTTCTTCACTAACTACGAGAGCCGGAAGGGAAAAGAGCTGGTGAGGGTTAAGTCCTTCCCAGGGCTGACAGGGCTAGCCTCCACCCTGGCTTACAGGGTCTTGATTCCTCTGCTGCGTCTATTTCTTTCTCTGCTTAGACTCCCTTCTGCCTCAGGGCCTTTGCACTCTGAATGAATGAACCACACCCACCTCCATCATCTACTCTCCAATCAGCTGCCGTTCCTTTACGTCTCTCTTTAGGAAAGCCTTCCTTACCTAACCCCCAGTCAGCCCCTGGCCCGTGGCCCTGTTTGCCCGCAGTACACCTCACAGCTTTACTTTGTCTTTTTTTTTTTTTTCCAGCTTCTGACTGTGCGTCTGTTTATGTGGTGTCCTGACTGTGCGTCTGTTTATGTGGTGACCTGACTGTGCGTCTGTTTATGTGGTGACCTGACTGTGCGTCTGTTTATGTGGTGACCTGACTGTGCGTCTGTTTATGTGGTGACCTGACTGTGCGTCTGTTTATGTGGTGACCTGACTGTGCGTCTGTTTATGTGGTGTCCTGACTGTGTGTCTGTTTATGTGGTGTCCTGACTGACATTTGTCTACTCTGCTACACAGTCATCTCTGTGGAGTAAAGGATGCCACTTTTATTTAATCTGCTTTGTCCCCAACACCTGTTCTAACGTGCACAGGAGTTGGCATTTCATTTGTATTTGGTCATGCCACCCTGAGGTGCATTCCACATCACCTCTCAAAGCTCCATGAGTGAGCTGGGTGTGGTGGCTCACACCTCCCAGTATTCAGGAGGCTGAGGCAGGAGGATTATGGCACATTTAAGCCACCCTAGGCTACAGAGTAGGACCCTGTCTCAAAAACAACAAGACCAACACAAACAATAACCAACATATCTAAAACCACAACTATGGTGATTGGAATGGCCAGGCCTCACACTTCACTCTGGAGTTAAACCGGCTTAAACCAGCTCTACCACTGGCTGTGTGCACTTCAGCATGTCACTCTGCCCCTTAGAGCCTGTCTTCAGATCTGTCACAGGGGGCTCACCTTTGAGAGTTTGAATGAGAGGTAACAGTGCATGCATCTGTGGAAAGCCTCTTGTGACTCCTGCCTTCCTCCTACGTGCAGGAAGCATCATTTTCCTGTTCCACTGGTACCCATGGCTTCTCTCTTGTTTCCAGGACACTAATCCCTTTGCCTCTCTCGTCTTCTACTGGGAGCCCCTGAACCGGCAGGTGAGTGAGCATCCCCAAGACAGCTTCCAGTGGACGGTGTGGGCAGGGGTGAATTTATAAATGAATGTGGGGAGGGTGTCCTCAGACCAGGCACATATTCTGCCTCGGCCTGGGTACTCTGCCTGTCACACAGCTCTCAGACAGTCTGCTTGGAGCCAAGGGTGGCAGGGCAGCAGCGAGAGAGAACAGGGAGATGCAGGGCCTGTGCTGGTGAGAGGGGTTGGTAGGATCAAGCGTCATCTAGCCAGGGTCATCTGTGAGCAGGTGCGTGTGGAGGGTCCTGTGAAGAAGCTGCCCGAGAAGGAGGCTGAGAACTACTTCCATTCCCGCCCCAAGAGCAGCCAGATTGGGGCTGTGGTCAGTCGCCAAAGTTCTGTGATCCCCGATCGGGAGGTAAGTGGGGTTCCTGCATGATCCTCTTGAGTAATGAGGCCCTGGGCTCCTCCCCAGAGGCTGTCTCCAGGAGATGCCAGAGTCCTATCAATCTAGCAGAGAGAAAAGGATGATGATGTCCCTAGGGGAGAAGAGAAGGAAACCGGAACACAGGCCTCCTCTGTCCGGCCCTCCCGTTGACCATTACCCCGGTCTACCTTGCTCACCTCTGTCCCTCATACCTGGCCTGGGTCCTGCTCCGGAGCCTATGTCCCTAAGTCCTTAGGTGAATCATCACCCATGCCTGGCTCTTCCTCTGTCTTCCCTGAACAGTACCTGAGAAAGAAAAATGAAGAACTGGAGCAACTCTACCAGGAACAAGAGGTGCCTAAACCAGAATACTGGTAAGTGATACCTGCACCTGGTGGACATCTAGGAAGGGACACAGGGCCCTGTCTGTGGAATGATAGATCTCCTCCAGGAAGCCCTCGTCAGCTGCATCTCAGGAGCTTGGGATGAGAGGTGAGGAGGGCACAGTAAACCTCTGCTTCTTCCCGTAGGGGTGGTTACATCCTGTACCCGCAGGTGATGGAGTTCTGGCAAGGCCAAACCAACCGCCTGCACGACCGCATTGTGTTCCGCCGAGGCCTGTCAACAGGAGACGCCCCTCTGGGACCCATGACCCACCGAGGGGAGGAAGACTGGGTGTATGAGAGACTTGCACCTTGACTCTGGACTCAGAATGTTGGGGATCATCAGCTGAAAGAGAGTGGGGGAGGTCTGCTAAGAGAGGGTGAAGGACTGGGAGCGGGGTCTACCTTTCTCTGTGTGTGAGGGGGCACTTGGGTTTAAACCTAGGACCTTGCTCATGCTAGGCAACACTCTACCACTGAACTATAGTCCCAGTATTTTTTCTTAACCTTGTATTTTGGGACTAAGTTGCCTAGGCTGGCCTTGAACTCCCTGTGTCTGTATGCCAGACAGCCCTCGACCTTGAGTTGTTCTTGCTGGAACTTTTGAGTAGTGGTGATCACAAGCTTGAACCACCAGGCCCACTCTAGTCCTTACTTTTAAACTGAGCCTATTTCTCTTCTCTAAGGGAATCTTCTATCTCAGTCTCGCCAGGACTCTGAGCTCGCCGAACTCAGCTGGCATCTAGCAGCCGGAGTGGAGTGTGCTTGTGTCCTAGAGAGTCACAAATGGCAAAGAATCTCACAATTATCTCCCTTCGCTTGTGATTTTTGGAACAGCCCCTCTTGGGGGCAGCAGCGGGTATGCCTCAGTTTCCAGCAACCGAATAATCAGGCTGCAGATGTGCGTGGCATACCAGCCATGGAAAGGAGCCAGGGCCAGTCTATGTTTGCTGTGACTCAGCCAGGATCAGAGAACGACTATTTGCTCTGGTTGGCCTTGAACTCGTCACTCTGGACACTGTACTTGTTTTGACTTGATGGGTGTGTGCTTCATCCTCTGTCCCTGACCAGGACTCCCCCAAGGCAGTCCTTTCTTGTGTCGACACCCTACTTATGCCTGGGTCCAGAAGGACATTGACCCTGCCCTACCTCGCCCCTTTTGCTGTTGTGCCATGGACTGTGACTTTATTAGTATGTGCAAATGAGTTGTTGAGAACACCTTGTTGTACCCCCTCCTCTTTTAGGGGATTGTGTGTCCCCAGTTTTTAGCGTGAGCTCAGCTGTCATTTCCAACATGCAAGTAAGTGTGTAATAAAAACTTGTTGGTCGCCGGGCGGTGGTGGCGCACGCCTTTAATCCCAGCACTCGGGAGGCAGAGCCAGGCGGATCTCTGTGAGTTCGAGGCCAGCCTGGGCTACCAAGTGAGTTCCAGGACAGGCGCAAAGCTACACAGAGAAACCCTGTCTCGAAAAACCAAAAAAAAAAAAAAAAACTTGTTGGTCATGTGTGATATTAATGTTTAACCCGATTTCATTTTGTCGGCCCCCACGAGGAGGCATATCTCCGCAGACAGGGAAGCTGGGGAGTGAGTGAATCTACAGGGCTTTTCTCCTTCCTTGCTTCTGGCCAGACAGGTTGGGTCCAGCAGGGGGAGCCCACTGGCTAGGGTTGGCCCTTGCTGGGCAGTGGAGGCCAGTTCCAGGCGGCCCCTTCTGCCTCCCCCTTCCTCCGCTTGGGTGGCTTCCCAGTGAAACTGTGGTTGATAACCATGGCCTCTCCCAGCTCCTGCACACATTTGCACTCTCGGTTCCTCCTCCTCCTCCAAGCGGCTCCTGCAAGCTTGCAGCTTCCTTGCTTGGGACTCCCTGGGGCAGCTGGATCTCTGGGGCCAGCCAGGCCTCCAGTTTAGGGGGACATGCACTGTCTCCCTGAAAGATTCCTGCAGAGATCATTCTGGGGCTGTGATGGTGCCTGTAAAAGACTTAGAGATCTGGGACCCCATGGAAAGAAGTGCTTGGGATACAGTTGAGCGGTAGAGTGTGTGTTGTCTAGCATGTGTAAATTCAATCCTCAGCATCGGGCAGGGGTTGGAGGTATGTGGAGGGGGCATGTAGTAAGCCAGGTGGTATGGTTCATGCCTGTAATCCCAACACTTGGGAGGCTAGAGTCGGGAGGATTGTAGTGAGTTTGAGGTCAGCCTGGGCTGCATAGTGAGTTCCAAGCCAACTTGGGCTGCAGTGTGAGCTCCTGTCTCAAAAAAGCAAAAACAAGCACGAATCTATACCCAGTACCTATCTTCATTCCCTCTCCAGGATGAGGTAATCTCAGGATGAGCTGATGTGAGGCAACCGAAGTATGGGTCTCAGAGGACACCCAGCCCCTGAGCTAATGGGTTGGCTCTCTCCATTGGTTCCAGAGCTTGCACATTCCCCTTGGTGGCCGTCACCTCCCAGTGGCCTAAGACCTAGACATTGTCCTGTCTCATTCCACCCCCACCCACCCCCGCCCCGTCCCGTTCCTCAGACGATAACTGATTGTTCCTGTCCATACCACTCCAACACACCACAGAAGAGGTTTATGAATGGAAGGTGCTGGGGGGCAGGGCATCATCATGGTTCACACATACAGGCCAGCTCTCACTTTAACCAAGAGCCTGACTAAGGGCTGGGGACTTCACCTCTCTGACCTTCAGCTAACTCGACTAGAAGATGGAGCTGACAGCAGCACCTGTCTCCGTGATGGGGAGCTGGGGGATGGGGAGGGGGGAGGCTAGGAAGATGGCCTGTTGTAAGCAGTGTGTGTGATAGCTAACGGCAAGGTTGCAAGACTGGAGACATCTCAACTCTTTGTGGGAGACTTTATGAACTGGGTGACTAGTGAGACCCAGAAAGTTCTGGGGAGAAGGAAGGGGGCAAAAGGCTGAGGCCAAGGCAGGGCCTCTGAGTCTATTTTCCGTTCAACCCCTGGTCTGCCTCCCTTATCCCCTGAGTTCCCCTGGCCTGGGTGAGGCATCTGACAAAGGTCTCCTTGTATAGGTCTGTTTGTTTTGGCAATAAACTTCCTCAGCAACAGCTCCCTAGGGTGGGGTGGCCCAGCCGACTTTGAGGAGCTGACCTGGAAGCTGCTGGACCACATAGCTGAGTGGCCACCTTGGTGTTTCCCACCGTGAGCTCCAGGGATTTGGCTGATTTTTTTTTTTTTTTTTTTTTTTGGTTTTTCGAGACAGGGTTTCTCTGTGTAGCTTTGCACCTTTCCTGGACTCACTCTGTAGACCAGGCTGGCCTCGAACTCACAGAGATCCACCTGGCTCTGCCTCCCAAGTGCTGAGAGTAAAGGCATGCGCCACCACCGCCCGGCTTGGCTGATTTTTTTTTTTCCAGTTCTCAGGTCCTGTGGCTTGGGCATGAACCTTAACGTTACAGGTGAGAGCTCTCCTCTGCTTCTTAAACTAGAGCAGTGGACATGGTGGCATTCTGTAAGGCAAAGGAAGGAAATCATCTGAGACTCTGAGGCGCTTTTGTTATGTTTCCTGAAACAGGGCCTTCCTGTATACTCCAGGCTGACCTATGAACCTGCAATCCTCCTGCCTCAGCAAGAGCTGAGGTTACAGGGATTTGCCCTCAGACCTGGCTTTACAGAGAAGCCTATGAAATGTCCCCAAGCTCATCAGGCTATTAACTGGTGGCACCAGAATTTAAATCTTGGTCCCAAACTGAACCACCGAGGACTACAGAGACTTTGCGTCTGTCACCAAAGGTCCACCCCATTCTCTTAGAGCCCCCAGCCTCTGTTGTCCAGGGGGGTCTGTCTCCTCCCCTTCTCCCCTGCCATATGAAGCCTAGCTTGGTGGTTGAATTACTGACACAGCCCCACACCGTCACACTTGGGGGCCCTTCCTGAGATCTGAAGAGCTCAAAGACCCACTTCACTTACACGAAGGTAGAGATGTGGCCATCCCCATACTTGTGAGGTAAGAGCATAAATACCTCTGTTTCTGCAGCATGATTTATTACTAGGTAAAACCTACCATTACTTTTCAAACAAAATTCAAGGCTCCAGGATTGACTTCTGGGGCTGATCCATCTTAAATACTATCTGGGAACGGGTAGAGGGAAAACTCCATCCATTCCTCCAGTTTGGACCCTTGGGCCAATGAGACTTCTCTTTGGGGGTATGTAATTCAGCACCCACACAAGGGGTAGTCGAGGCAATAACTCAGGGATTTTTGATCTGGCCTTCTGTTGCATCCCAGGGAGTGCCGTGTCCTTTGCCCCTCCACTCTGGGGAGCAAAGTTCCAGGAAGTTTACTCCTTGAATTAAGAGGTGATCTCCAGTTCAACAACTCCGCCTCTGGCACCAAGGAAACCACTATCACGTGACTTCTGGAACCTCTGCTCTCGTAGGATTGGTCGGGGGGAACAAGTCACAGGTAGAGAAAGTAGAGGGAACAGAGATCCAAGTTCACCCTTGACCCTGTGCCAAGGAAGAGAGTGGAGTCTGTCAGGCTCCCTGTCCTTTCTCTGCCATGCTGCCTCCCTGTGAGCCAAGCCACTGTGCCAAGGATGGCTGTACTTCTAGGTGGCCATTTTTCATCCTGGACCAGAGTGCCTTTGTATGTGATCATGGGGAGGAGGACCCTGGGATCTCCCAGGCCCTTCATAAATCTGGGGCACATAAATACAAACCTAAGAACCAGGCGATCCTGCCAGCAGGCATCACCTGCCACCATGGCTTCAGCTATGACCAAAGAGGCCAGCGTGGCAAGCTCCTGCCTCAGACCCCACCAATGGCGGGGAGCAGGGAGGTGCTAGTGTCCTCCTGGGCTGCCTTCATTGTCCTTTGTCCTCCCTGTCATCAAAGAGGCTGGGGTTCTCTGCCAACATGGCCCGGACTTTTTTCTTTTCCTTAAAGCGGCCCGAGTTGGAGACTTTGACGTGTTTGCCTTTGGTGTTCTTATCCACAATCTTCTCCAGGCGGGCGTTAAAGTCGCTGTGAGGGCCTTCGGCGTCGGGGCCCGGCGGCTCAGCACCTCCCTCTGTTTGGGCATAGGTGTCAGGGATTTCATAGAGCACTTTGGGGGTGGATTTCTTTTTCCGGAGGAAAGTCAACTTCCACCAGCCGACTTCAGTCATGGCGGTCCCTAAGCCCAGGCAGGGCTTTCTGCTGGACCGAGGGGGAGAGACAGAGGTCAGTGGGTGGAGTGGATGGATCCTTGGACCAGCCTTCCCTAGGCTTATTCATAGTTACGTGCTGTTTTAAGAGCGGGTTAACGCCTAGAATCCTAGCACCGAGGCTGAGCTGGGAGGGTTGGGAATTGGAGGCTAGCCTGGGCTACATAATGAGGCCCTGCCTCAAAAATAAACAAACAAACAAATAAATATAAAGAAAAATTTGAAGGTAGGACTGAAGGGTTGGGAAACGAGCCTTCAAAGCAGCCATTAACGGGAAAGCCACTGAGCCAGGTAAAGGACAATGTGACAACTCCACCCCATTGCCTTACAAAGCTGTAGAGAGAAATTTGAGGTCCTTCCTTCCAAGCCTTCATTCAGGGTTAGGGTTAGGGAAACCCCTTACCTAGTCACACATAGCCTGGTCTTTGGCACCATGATCAAGTCTTTCCCACCTCTGCCCAGTGTGGGCAGGCCATTGACAGGTCACGCCAGCAGAAGCGCCCTGGGTGTTTTGCTTGGAACTCGTGACAAAATTAAATAGAATTTGCAGTAGTTCCAGACATTTGTTGTTCCCAACGGTGAGGAGCATGGGCCCTTCCTGAGGAGAGGGCTGGGAGCTGCAGTCTAGGACTGGGAAGCTCTGCCTAGACTCTTGGCTTCGGCCAAGTCACTTCTCTGGTCCTCGGTGTCCTTATTCGTCCCATCTAACACTCAGGCCAACCGTGACTGCCTGTCTACATGGGTAGATCAGCTTGGCGAAGTAACACTTAGGAGATAGAGTAATCATTAGCAGACTGTTCTTTTCCCCCACCAGCAAGCTGCCACAGGACAGGTGTTTGAAGGAGAGTTAAAAATTTGCAAGGCAGTCAGGTGGAGCCTGGGAGATGTCATCATCACAGCTTGTACTGTATGTACCCTTCTATAAGGTATAAGGTGGGATTTGGGGTTGAAATCCAAGCTTCACAGCTCACAAGCTGTGTGGCCTGACATGGAGCCACCTCTACACAGACCTCATCTTTTATTCATTTCCACAAAGGTACATATGAGCTAGAGGAAAGCCAGGGAATGAAGCTCTCTGGCCACAGAGATGTCTGTAGCATGGAGGGGACGGAAGCCTGGAGGGATTAAATTCTATGAGGGAGCTGAACGATATAAGCAAAGGCCCCTCTGGGCCAGGGAGGTTGGAGGTCTGGTCTTATGACCCGAGGCATACCCTGGGACAACACTGGGGAAGGAGGGCGCAAAAGCTAACAGACACCAGAAAGCTAGGTGGCCAGGCAGCCCAGACCTGTGTGTGTCACCTCCTTTAAAAGCTGATGGGGGGGGGGGCTTGTGAGATGGCCAGCACACAAATGCACCCGCCACCAAACCTGAGGGCCTGAGTTCCATCTCTAGAGCCTACACGCTGGAAGAAGAGAATTGATTCTCACAAGTCCTCTGACTTCGCCAAATAAACCATGGCGTACACCCCTTATGTACATGAAAAATATTTTTTGTTTGTTTTTGTTTTTCAAGACAGGGTTTCTCTGTGTAGCCCCGGCTGTCCTGGATCTCATTATGTAGACCAGGCTGGCCTCGAACTCACAGAGATCCTCCTGTCTCTGACTCCCAAGTGCTGGGATTAAAGGCATCAGAAATGTAATTTTTAAAAAGCTGATGATGGAGGGAGCTGGGAGCATAGCTAAGTGGTAGAGCCTTTGCCTAATATACCCAAAATTCTGATGCACAGCACCAAACCCTCCAAATCTTGATGGCCTTCATTACATTTTTTAAAATCACCAGAAAGAAAAAAAATGCAAATTGAGTACCAGTGGGTTTTTTTTTTAATAAGTAGAAGAAATATAGGGTGCTGCTTTCTCTCCTTCTAGCTTTCCGATTTCCATAATTTCCATAATGTATACGGGTATTTGGGGTGAGGGAGCATATCACATTCAGAAAAAACAAAAGCAAGACACTGGCCTAGACTGGAAACAAGCTGAACACCTCCTGCCGCTGTCCCTTGTGGTGTCTCCTACCCCTTTACACACACTCCCTACCCCCCCACTCCAGCCCAGGAGACTCTTTCCCATTCCTTTGTCCATGACGCAGACCCCCGTTGCCCACGCTACCCTCTCAGCTGGTCCAAGTAACAGAAGCTAATGGAGATCTTATGCAGCTCCCACTTAGAGCAAGAGGGGGGGCCTTGGGGAGCAGGGGTGAGGGCTGGAGGGGTACTTCCTGGCACCTGGAGAGTTGAGCGCACCAAGGGACAGCCTGAGAGGTTTGCCTTGGCAGTGTGCCCCTCCTGGGCTTAGCACAGCCTTGCACAGAACTGGGTGTTCCAGAGCGGGTTACTGGAAGGAGCTGTAGGAGGGCAAGGAAGGAGGGGCAGGGTGCCCGCTCAGTAGCTGCCTTGTCGACCCATCACTGCCCGTCTGGAGCTGCCAGAGACTTGGGGGATAGAGAGACGGCCGGCTAGCTCCTGCATCTACTCTAAGCATCTGACTTCCTAGCTCTATACGGGAGAGGCTTCTCACCATACTAGTTAAAATGCACCCATTTTAAGAGGTACTATATCTCACCGAGCGGTGGTGTTGCACGCCTTTAATCCCAGCACTCGGGAGGCAGAGCCAGGCGGATCTCTGTGAGTTCGAGGCCAGCCTGGTCTCCAAAGCGAGTTCCAGGAAAGGCACAAAGCTACACAGAGAAACCCTGTCTCGAAAAACCAAAAAAAAAAAAAAAAAAAAAAAAAAAAAATGCACCCATTTTAAGAGGTACTATATCTCACCGAGCGGTAGTGTTGCACACCTTTAATCCCAGCACTCGGGAGGCAGAGCCAGGCGGATCTCTGTGAGTTCGAGGCCAGCCTGGGCTACAGAGTGAGATCCAGGACAGGCACCAAAACTAGACAGAGAAACCCTGTCTCGAAAAACAAAAAGAGTACTGTATCTCAAGGTGGCGTTCCCAGAGCCTACCTCTCCTTGAAGTTGATGGAGCAACAGGTCACAGGCACTGCTTAGAAGATTGTTAATGGGAATAGCTTAATGCCTGCCTTGGTGTCCTGTGTCCTGGACTTGGACCCTGGACTCTTAGGGATGCTTTTGCTGGCCTTCCTGTGCTCTCTGCTCAGGACACCTAAACGCCTGAACTGGTGTTTGTCCCTTGAGGCAAGCCTGATACATGGAAACCTGAATTTGTAAAACAGATTAAGTGATGGACTATTCTTTCTTTTGCATAATAACTCAGCCTCAACGGTCTTTAGTGCACATAAAAAAACAGTATAGAATATAGCCTGGCGTGGTGGCACCCACCTTTAATCCTAGTACTCAGGAGGTGGAGACAGAAGGATCTGTGTGAGTTTAAAGTTAGCCCACTCTACATAGGGAGCTCCAGGTCAGTCAGGACTACATAAAGATACTCTGTCTAGCCCGGCGGCTGCGGTGGTGGTGGCGCACGCCTTTAATCCCAGCACTAGAGAGGCAGAGGCAGGTGGATCTCTGTGAGTTTGAGGCCAGTCTGGTTTAAAGAGAGAGTTCCAGGACAACCAGCGCTACACAGAGACATCTTGTCTTGAAAAAACCAAAAAAGGAGAAAGAAAAGAAACTGTCTAAAAACCAACGGGAGCAGGGGTATGAGCCAGGTGTAGGAGTACACCCTTGGGATCTCCGAACTCAGCCAAGATACCACAGTGAATTCAAGGCCAGCCTGATCTACCCAACAAGACTCTAGTTCAGCCTGGTCTCCAAGTGAGACCCTGTCTTAAAAAATAGGGGGCGAAAAAAAAATAAAAAATAAACAAAATGAACAAACAGACAACAGCAGCAAAAAAAAAGGTGGTTTGGTGTACAAGCTTCCCAGATCTGCAGAGTCTTAAAGAGTAAAATGTTTCCAGTCACATGCCCGTGCATGATCCTGGAAAGCCGGAGGTTAGGGTGGGGGTGGGGAACCGGACACAGGGACGGACGGACCTGGGAGTGGACACACAGATCTAGCATTTGGTGAGACCAGCTGTCTGCTTATACAGGGTCCCAAGATGCCAGGTTGAGGGCTGGTCCCTTGCCCTGGGCCAGTCATGGGATAAGGGAAATCAGGCCCCAAGGATGCCAACTCCACGTCTGCTGCTTGTAGCTTCAGGGCCCATGAAAGGCCTTGTAAGACAACTTGCCACCTCTTGCTTCGGGTGGCTAGCACCATGGCATGCACAGAAGTGCCCAAGACAGGTCCCGTCACCCCAGCTAGAGCACTATCTGAAGGGCTTTGCCCGGAGTGGGCCAAGTTCCTTCTGAGCGGGACGAGTTAACCATTGACTGAGTCAGAGGTGGAGGGGCAGGGGAGGAAGGGTATCAGTTCTGCATCATGGGACCTGCTCCCCCTCCTCTGCAGGGTCCTCAATGGCCCTTGACCACCCTGAAGGAGACTGGGTAGGAAGTGGGAGATGTTTCTACCAGATGGTCAGACACACACAGGTTGTGGGCCGGAGGGGATGATCTTGAGTGGAATAAAAGTTAATAGTGAAACTTTCTCGGCAGGAATTCTGTTGGAGGCCTGGGCATTCTCCCAGAGGCCTGTGGGGTGAGGCTGGATGAAGACAGGGTCTGCTAGGCTTGTCCACCGTGGAGGAGGCAGGAGTGGGAACCCTGGTCGGGGCCTCTGTCACAGTTTCCCCACCCACCAGTCCCTGCTACCTGTACCTGTAATCCGGACTGCTCTGTGCTGGAGGTGAGACTTTCCCTAGAGGAGCTGAATGTAGGAGCAGCAGGTGAGACTGGAGGAGGAGAGGGTGTCTCCGGGGTGTCACGCTGGCCAGACTCAGCCTGGAGAGGTGGGTAGGAGCAGCTGCAGGGCAGGTGTGAGAGAAACAGGTGCAGAAGCAGGTACCTGCTGGCTGCGCAGGAGATCCTGGAGTCAAGGTGAACCTGAAACCCGGCCCCTCCCAGCTAAGTAAACAGAAGCAGAGGCCGGCTCAGGCTGATGAATATTCATCACCCCAGAAATCCAACCCCAGTGCCCCTGCATCCACCCAGAAGCCAGCGTCCTCCTGGGATCACCAGGCTAGAGGACCGAA